GTTGCTGCGGGTTTGATTATGGCTAGCTTCGGAGTTTTCTTGGTTTGGCAACTTTGACAATGTGTATGCAATGATTTTGCTTAGAAATATTGGAGAAAATTCAAGAGATATCAGGCTTCATGGCACACTGTTGTGCAAATTCAGGAATGGCTCATCTCACAAAAGATATTACAAAAGTAGATTCATTTTTCCAACTTTGACAAGAACAGCCGCTTTAAAACACAGAATTTAATATTTTTCCTAAATTTAGACTTTTTTGGCACTTTAGAGAGTTGTGTGTTAATCTGAAAAAAGTGAAGTTACAAAGAGATTCAAGCGAAAAGGAAGGAGTCAGTATCTTGAAAGTCAAGTAGCCGCTAGACACCCAATGAATGGAAGTTGGAAATGCTCAGATTAAACGAAAAAATATGGTCAGCACAGACGCCGTAACCCAGTACAACATGCTCTAATCTTCGCCAACTTTCCTTTTTCTTAGAAAAGGATGCTATAAGTTCTTCTCACCGGCTGCGAGGCTGTGAAAAATGGCTAGACATTTCTCGTACATTCTCTTAGATCCTGGCGGAAAATAGATTTTCTAGAATGCCAGTGATTATTGACCGAGCGGACTCGGTTCCGGAATCGCTCGAGATTTTCTTATAGTTAAAGCAAAGCACTGCGAATCCACCGTGTTTCAGGATGTATCTTTGAATCCTGGTTATGTAATGATGCCTCGTGTTTACACTACAGAAGCAAGCTAGGTTTAACTTTCTTAAAAACAGTTTCGAGCTTTTACTGATCGAGTGTTGCAGTTTATACGTGCTACAATACGCAGTTATCTTTTATCTAAAGCCCTCATTTAAGTAGGATCCTATAGCGGAATATGTTCAGGTATACGTAACTGTGTTAACAAGAGACTGCGAAAGACATACTGTTTAGTAAACGCGTCCAGCTTTTTCGCATCACAATCGTTTTTGCGGAACGACATGTCTAGTTTCTCTAAATTTTTAACAGTGTTTCTTTTTCACCAAAAATATATCTTACACTTAATTTCTATCAAAAAGTCTAGTTTAAAGAAACTAGCACAGCTAATGTCGGGCTTTTCATATATGCATTTCTTACAGACAACTAACTCACAGAGTGAATAAATTCACAAAGCAGAACTATCTTTATTAACAGTGACGAACGAAAAAATGAAACGGCTCGCGCACGCAGATTTTAAGTACGTCGTTTACTCCTTCGATTACTCAATAAATGTAAGGGGTGATGTCTGATCGAAGAGTGTTTTTGTGCTTTCGTTCTTTACATCTTTAACGGCGGAAATTAAAGTAACAAAGACAAAACAACAGCTTTACTACTTGAAAATCACTTTGCAAATCGAGCTTCTATTGAATGGGGTGTTATACTTATTGTTTGCGGAAATTACTCGACGTCTGAACTTTGCGATTTCATACAGAGAAATTTGGTTGTGAAGGCGATTTTAGGGATGAAGAAAATACTGACGAAATGCACCAGGCGAAGGCCAAAACTCGAAACAGATCACAACGTCCCACTTTCATCTATCATCTATCTATCAAGTTGTTTTCTTTTACATTAAGTTTATTACCTGATGTTAGAACTTCAAAGGGGGTAAGAAAAGCATTTAAAGACACATAATTATTTATCATAAATTCCGCTAAGGACCGTGAACACGTCTGATTTTTTGCAATAAATTAAAGGTCGTGAAATGAAAATTACGAGTAAGTAGAAGAGGCGCCGAGCACAATTTCATGATACTTAGATATGTTTGAGCCTCTCTTGTGCAAACAATCAATATATCGGTCAATGTGACACTTCCACACCGAACAAAAGGAGACATAGATCACAGACGAAGCGCCTTAAGTAATAACGCCCAAACGGTTAACGTTATTGTAGTCCGTTTTATACGAGGGCCAAGAAAATCTGCCACTTGAAGTTTGTTAGCGTTGAATTGAGGAGGTCAAGTACTGCTTTCGTCGCCACGTATCACTGACAAATAAACCATACGCTAAGAAAACGAAAAGCTATCGATGAAAGTAAATAGATCTTAAACCTGTCAACTTGAAAGAATCGTTCAGGTCAAGCATAAGTCTCTTAATATAGTCGCCCTTACCTCGCTTGAGAATAGGGTCGAATAATGTACCCGACTCGGGAACAAGCGAACAATTCCATCGCCTGAACTCGAACTGTATTTTGCATTCTTCAATAGCCTCCTTAGCTCCCTTGGCTACACTCGCCATCAAAGTTGGGTGTTTGCGGCAGAGATCTCGTTGTTTTGTGTTAAGCTGTGGGGTTGTGTAACATCGAAGAGCAGCTTTTTTCACTGGATCCGAAGTTAGGGCTGAATGAGTTCCAAGTGTCCTATAACAAGCAGAAGAATCTAGGTTAGTTCCGCTAGTTTGAACAAAGTTTCTAAAAAGTTTAACTGAAGGATAACTAAAAAAACTCGAAGGTAGGCTTGCAGTTATACTTACCACCAAACAGATTCGCTCTCTTTAGAGAAACATAAACAAATAAAGAGGATGCATGCAATCCTCATAGTTGCCGGTCGATTACCCCGCCGCAGGCTCTTGAGATAAATTTGCGTCCAAAAAAGGATTTTTTACAGTTGAGAGACGCGCACGCTTTTTTCGTAAATCTCAATGGATGTGGTGACTCTTCCTAAACGCCGAATAAAAGGCTGGAATTGGAATTAACCAGGTGTCAACAGTTTTAAAGAGTGTCAGTCAAATCAGCTAATAAAACCAGTATTCAAAAAGCGATTACGCACCACCGCGAATTAAAATCCTGCTTATGACTATGTCGCTATAAAGGGCAGATAATTTCCCTGAAAAACGAGTTCGCAACCTCTCAAGATGAGAGCTTAAATCGTTATGAGCTTGGGCCCATTGTCCCTGTTAAATAAGTCTTTATTGCCATGTTTAATAGAATTTGTTTGTGCCAGATTCTCATCGCTTTATTGCATTAAATTAAAACTTAAAAACAATTCACACGAGAGGTGAAATTATCTCGATTTAATTGTTATTATCAAAAACGCTTGAAAACCCAAATGGCCCTCAGGGAATTATGCACGTCAGAAGTAACAAAATTCGTTGCCTATTTTTTGGAAAGGCGTATCTTCTCTTTTAAATTTCGTCCTGTGAAACGAGTTTTGCCTTAAAATTTTCGGAAACCGCCATGTCAAGATTTAGCTATCGGAAATGCGTGGTCTTTTATTGTCGTGGGCGGAATTTGGGCATCTTAAAACAAACCTCTGAAGTAATTAGCCATTTTCAACACTGTATATTGCGTACCTTTCACAATCAATTAATTATACTTATCTTAAATGGCCACAATAGCTTCGCGCGCGCTGTGCGGCCTCGTCGAGTCCTTTACGGAAGGAAACATTTAAAATAAAGTTTGATTTAGAGTGTGACGGACAGAAGCGGTCGGTCAAGTTCCGTTTTGCTGCGTTCTCAGACAGTCACAATTTTCGTGTAACTTGGATTCTCGGTCCCCTCAACGTGATATTATAAGCCGCATTTTGGCACAAGGGTGCAATTCCGACAGTTGTTTAATTCATTTCGACTAATAGTTATCCTTGAAATGTTAATCAAACCTTCCAATACCTCGGATGGTAATTGTAATAACTGTCTCGGTTTTTGTCTGAATGAAAATCTTGGCCTGCTGAAGAAATAAAAGTCCATCAGTTTCTTGATTATAGAGAAATCACTTTTAAGGCTGTCCGTCTGAAATATTTACGAGAAGTAAATATTTTATTTTGTTAGCCCGTCTGTGGACATTATAGTCGCTTTACCTTCTGCTGACTTTTCCTGCGAAAATTTTCCCTGACTTTCATTCTCACTGCAGAGGTCAGTTAGTTTCAAGCAACTGTGAACCAAGGACGGCTGTGTCAATATAATCAACATCTAATTCAGCGCTATCGGTAACGGATTTGGAGTCTGGTCGGTTTTGCGCTGAGTAAACATTTCACTAAAGCGGCTTACATGAAAGATGCATCGAATTAGTGCGAAAAATTGTTCACATTTTCTCCGAAAAAGAAGCACTTAATGAAGAAGATGATAATCATTCTTTTTAGAGGTTCTAAATCGAAGGTATTTTTTTCTCACGTTGTCGCTTAAAAGGCTTATCCGATCACGGAATATTAATAGGCCGCCCTTTTAGCACAGTCGTTCAAGAAGTCAAAACTATTGGTGAAAATCGATTTCATCCAAGGTCTAAATGACTGAAATCCACAGAAAAACGACCAGTGATTACGTGACTAGCTTGAAAACGAAACCTCAATTTTTTTAGTCGATTTTCCTTATGGAAGTAATATTGATACAACACCCACTCGATTTTATTTATACATTTGTCCAAATTTCCCTCTAAGTTTCCTGTTTAAGGGACCAAAACCATTTGTGATAGCACTTGAAGTCACGTAGAAGCTCTTAGTTATGCTTTAGGGTAGTGAGCGAGGCCATTAAAAACTTGTTACACCTTTGGCAGTAATCACTATCTGTGAAAAATATATTTCCAACAAAATGACGGCTTCCCACGCAATGTCAGCACCAGAAATATACACATTGAAACAATTAGAATGGGAAGATCAGTTTCAGCACCAAGCAATCAAACTACCACAGAAATTTACTAGGTTTCTTAGATCAGTTATATCTGTTAGATATTCTGGTCTGAAATGTAACTGGAAAATAGTTTGAATACGTCTTAACTGAATTGTTTGTCTAAAGCTGAACTTTTTAAAAGTCCTTCTCACAAATGCCCTGCGCTTCAAAGGCAGGCTCGTGTAGGTTCTCATGTTGGAAGACTGAAGACTAGACAAGCTACGAAATGTTCACCGCAGCGGCTAATCTTCCTTTCATTATTTAGATATGTGGAAAAGAAAAGAAAATTTTCTTTTTGATATAGAGCTAAAGCAAAATTGGCGAGTGACAGAGGAGTGGGGACTGGCACCAAATGGGGATTGCACCGACCCGTACCAGCCTCTAAGCGCAACATTGAACAGCAAAATGGCGGACGAAGGAGCAATTCCTTTGGTGGATTTTAGTGTCATGGGTTTAAATTGCGCAAAATTGCCTTCGCAAGACGATGAATCGGTCAAGCTGTTAGCCGAAAAGATTCATACAGCTTTTAGCACGATCGGCTTCGTGTATTTATCAAATCACGGTATATCTGATGAGGAGGCAAGTCTGTTATAAAGGTTTTACTAAGGGGTACATCGGGGTATTACTTACAAAAATGGACTGTTCTTCATGAAATCAAAGTCACGTACTTTATTATTTTGTTATTTTCAAATCCCTATGCCAAAAAAGAGAGAAATCGCTTTTACGATTTTCGGAGATACTACAAAAATAGCTAGCACTGATGAGCAGGCCATTATAGCCAAAAGAGGGAAAACCAGTTAACCAGTTAACTTTCTCGTTTTTTGACTGCTTTGCTTTCTCTTTTAACGTCACCCATTAGATTTAAAGGGTTCTTTCACCAAGGGTAACCCATGATTCTTCCATGAGTGGTGTGGATTCAAGCCGAAGGGGTGGGGGTGGGGGGGGGGGAGGGGTGGAGTTCCTTGACTAATTTTTTGGTTTAGGTGAGCCACTGACCCTGTTTAGGACAAAACATTCCTCAAATTCATACCCTGTTTAGGACAACACCCTCAATTTTATTACCCTGCTTAGCACAAAGGAGAAAGTGCACGCCATCTTGTTTTAAAGCAATTGAGCAATTTCATGTTAAAGGCTTTTGTATACTTGGAGTACAAACAAAATTCATTTAGCAAATCAAATCAATCGTGCAGGCAATACCCTGTTTATAGACTCCACACAAAATTACATACCCTGGTTAGGACAGACCCACACAAAATTATATACCCTGTTTAGGACAGAGAGGTAAAAAAACCGTACCCTGTCCTGCGGCACATCCCTGTATAGGCCATATGAGGGAGTACCCCCCACCCCACCCCACCGGGATCCAGAAAGCTTGTAGTGGTTGCTGCATATCTTAATCTTTTTTTATTAATAAACTTACTGAAATATATTTTTTTTCTACCGATCATGTTTTTGGCAGATTTCAGAGGTTCGTAAGGCTGGTGATGGATTTTTCAATCTTCCTTCTGATGTCAAAAAAAGCTATTCCCGTCCTTCTGATGGAAGGAACTTTGGCTGGGTTTCACTAGAAAGAGAAAGGTATGGCTTACAGCCTTAAATGTTTTAGTGTGTCCAGGACATTCCATTTTATCTGCATCCCCCGAAGACAACTGGAATCCGAATCTTCAAATTTTTGCAGCACCCTTTGAAAAATAAAATGTGAAGGATTAATTTTTTTGTCGGCATCTTTGAAAAATTTGCCAGAAGGGTCCAAATTTTGTCGCTTCTTTGAAGATAAAATTTGAACTCCCCTATTAAAAAACCTGCCGTCCTTAGAGGGGGTTCCTCAGCACACCCCCCTTCCCACTGGACAAACCCCAATTGTTGTGATTTTTTGTTGATAATTTTTATTTGTCTACTACTCATAAAGATTCCTGTTTCTACAGCTTGAATCCTTCACGGCCAGGAGATTTAAAAGAAGCTTTTAATGTTTGTGAGCTAGACGAGGAATCACAGGTTTGTTGTAAAATCAGTTAAGAGAATTTCATAAAAGACTAAAGCCTTTTTTCCTTTGATCATCATTCAGTTCATTTTCATAACCTGTTCCTTTGATGATGAACAGATATTGTTAAGAGAAAACAGAGATTCCAACCCTGTCAACTGAAAAAAAGGGAGGTTTGTGGAGTGGCATAGCCATGCCCACGAACGCCAAACGCACAAGCCACTAGGTGGGTCCAGGGGCATACTCCCCTGGGAAAAACTTTAAGATATGTGCCTTTAAGATGCCATTTCCTGCATTTTGAGATCACAGTCAATGGAAAATAGTGGAGTTTTTAAGCGGCAGTGGAAGCTAAGGCCTATTGGTCCGTATCAGGTCAGTGCATTACTGTACCCAAATTATCGCAGGCTCATGTTCGGATGCCAAAAGGGTAAAAATGGTTGAGAAAACACTGAAAAACAGCAAAGAATCGTGCTAAAAAAGACTGGTTAAACAAAGAAAACATTATCTTTCTTTGGCTAGGAAGAGTTTCAAATACCGGGAGAATATTAAGCGAAAACGGGAGGCCAGAAATATTCACTGAAAATGGGAGGTTTCCGGCCAAAACGGGAGGGTTGGAATCTCTGAAAAAACTGAAGTTAGTCGCTCTCGGGACTAATGGAAGCAGGACTGTAGCTAGAGGAAGGTGAAATGAGTGTTGAATTTCTTGAAAAATATTTTGTACTTGTTATCTTTATTTCTGACATCACCTCAGCAAATATTTTCATTAGGCTACAGTTCTGCATGTAGAAAGCATTGCTTGCAAATCGCTGCTTATCCCTGTAAAGAATATACAATATACATGCACATGTAAAGGGGACTGATGTCAATAATTTTTGGATCTTTTACGTCTCTTTTCTTGTAGAGATGGCCAGACAAAGAAGCCCCAGAATTTAAACCTGTAGTCATTTCTTTTTTCAAGAAGTGTACTGATCTGGCACTGAGAATTATTGATGTTGTTAGCATAGGTCTCAAGCTTAAGGTTGGTAAATGATACTTGAATAATATATAGATTTAGCCAGAGCTAAAAGCAAAGCTCCCATTTATGCATTTATAATATTATCTACTTCAAACAACGAACCTGGAACTATTGCAGAGAAATTCACAATATATTTAAGTTTAGGAAAGGACCATATGACTGTTGAGGACAAGCTGAAAACGTGAATTTGAGCCGGGGATCAATTAAAAGCTAATAACTGGTTAGTGGGATACATAAAAAAAATGTGAACTTGATGAGTTGACACTTGAGCCCATAATCAGGTCATGTCATTCTGGTCAGCAGATACCCTGTTTTGACAGCTGTGAATTGACCATAATATGGATGTCTATTATAAAGTTAAACACAGGTTACAGGCTCCCATGTGACATTTCACATTGGTTTCCCTGTGGTGCAGCCAAATGGAGGGGTGGACAGACGTACAGTGCAGTCACATTACTACCAAAATTTCTTGGATGCATACATGTAGATAAGCAAATTTTCTTACCCATGGTGTTCTGCTGCATGCAGTAAAGCTTCGCTGTAATTATTATAAAGATGCACTTAACTCCCTGGCAAACCTTACAGATGTTTGAGTGAAACGATCTCCTGCTATGATTGATTTTTGCCATTATGGACTTGCAGACACTTTTTTTAGGTTTCAACAACACAGTTTTATTGTTGTAACTCTTGCTCAATAGACTTGAGCTATATCTTTCAACATTCATCAGCAAAATTAATGTTGTCTGTTTTTTCCCCAAGGTAGAGCCGAGGGAAACATTGAGATTTGAGGGAAACAAAATTAACTGTTTCCCGAGGGACCAGTCTTAAAGTGATTTGTTATATAGCTGGAAAGTTTGAAGCTGGAAATTCATTAAATCTCACTGTAACAGCAGTGGTGGGTAAATATTTGTGGGTAACAGTGCACTGTTACCCTCTGAGGTAAAAGATTTTGCAACGTTGCCTGCTCAGAGACTTTGGCGGGAAACAGTACTTTCATTGTTAGATGTCAGGTGACCTCAGAGTAACCAATGAGAGCGTGCTCTGTTGGGAAAAAAATTTCAAGCTATATAACAATAACCATATATTGATGCACGACACATGAAACATAAATTTAACAATGACTGAGCAAATCCATCATTTCTATAGTCTATAAGAGTGAAGACCATGGAAAATTGTGGTTGATTTGTTAACAAAGCAGTTATTGTCGCATAAATATTTACAGGACCCCAAATGGCTCAGTGAAGTCCATGGTGGCATTGGCACTGCCGAGAATGCAACTGCGTTGCGACTGTTATACTACCCACCCCTCCCTGAAGACTCTGATATAAAACCTGGTCAGGTACGGTGTGGGGAGCATAGTGATTATGGCTCAATTACTCTCTTGTTTCAAGATGATGTTGGTGGCTTAGAGGTGAGAGATATTTTAAAGACTTAAGTTTAATCTTAAATTGCAACAACTAAAGATTGTTTTGATCTATTTTTTGGCAGGAGTGTAAAATCTAAACATGTAAATGCCTTGTTTATAGCGGAAGTGCCTTAGGCCACACCTATACTAATGCGTTTTCATTTGAAAATGCATACATTTTGATGTGTTAAGTCCTTCTGTCCACACTACTTTGAGCGTTTTCATTGAAAACTCATAGATTTGAAAACGCTCTTGAAAGTGGTTCAAAATGAAAAATGTGTGCATGTCATATAAGTGTGGATGGTCAAAAACGGTTGAAAATGCATCAACAGGAAAATGATGACCAAAAACATCACAGGCGCATGTGTTTGTAGCAGGTACATAGAGTTTAACTTATGCCACATGGGGTATCAATAATTTCTGGATTGACATACCAATACTCTACATTACACAGGTTCTGCCAGTGAATGGAGAATATACTGCCGCCAAGCCTGTTGCGGGAACTGTGTTGGTAAACATCGGAGATCTCATGCAGCAATGGACTGCTGATAAACTAAGATCAACAGTAAGTTGAGTAGGCCACGCCCGAGTTCCCAAAACCTTCACTTTTAAAACGAGGCCAAGTGCACAACCTTTCTTGTGGAAATGTGTTCTATTTGCATGAGAATGAAAAACATTTTCATATCATAGGTTGAGCATTTAACCTCGTTTTGATACAGAGGCCCAGGGAACTCGGAAATGGCCTATTCCCCCTTAACAAGGCTCTCTTGAGGGGGGTGGGAGCCTACGTCCTTAGCCTTACAGTGTTTTGCGTTTTGAGGGGTAGGCCATGGCCTTGTTGGTATTCACAATCAAGGCAGGTGAAGCGTATCCCCCAAGATTCTATCAATAAATTGATTATTTGAAAACTGAATCCGTCAGTCGTTCCCGTAAAAAGTGTCAAATTCAAATTGGCATTCCTGCACACGTAATGAGCAGTGAATATTGTACGAGAACTTAAACTGGTCTCGCATGGCGATGGCATTGAAAAACCACAGGCAGCACAAACTCTACGGTCGTTTGAATGTGAACTTTATAAGAGAATATTTTCGAGGAATAAACAACATCTCAATCTTTCGCAAAGATTCGAAAGCAAATGACTTACCTTGTACTTGTGTTCTTTCTGTTCGGTTCTCGAACCATTTCAAAGTTGTTCGCGGCCAGTTTTCAGCGTTTTAGATTTCGAGTTGTACTAGCCTTTATTTCTTTGTATGGTAAGAACTCGAAATATATCTTTTGCCCCACTCAATTTGTCAATTGTAGACAAATTGTTCAGCAGTTGAATTCTTCAGCACTCTGTCCAAGTTCAAAAACGGAAAATTCGTCGTCGGTTGTTCACTTCGTCCAACGTGGCAATGGTAGGTTTCACGTCGTGATCAAGTAGTTAAAGTCAGCGAAGTTTGCCAAAAAGGCGTGAATCACGCGTTTTGGCAACAACAGCTCTGCACGTGCATCACTGATGCACGTGCAGAGCTGTTGTTGTTGTTGTCGTTTGTGCCAAAAAGTCTGAAGCACGTACAGAGCTGTTGTTTTGTTTATAAAACCAATGTTTTTGACTTCCTGGTTTTGCTTTGGGTTAAGCTAACCTCCGAATTTGAAATTTTGTTCTTAAAATTTGAGGCTGGCGTTTAGCATTGATGCAAATGACCGCCAAAAACTGAAGCTGCTATAAAGCAGTACTAATTTCCGTTTAGATCGTTCTAACGGGGAAGTGAGGACTCCCTTTTCAGATGTCCTTTTTCCCACGAAAAGGTTTCACTAGAATGACCCGAAAAGTTACAGAATTGAAATTCCGTTTTTTTTTTGTTTATGGTAAATAACCTTTCTCTCCCTCCTTCGCTTCCTCTTTGTCATCACACCCCACTCGCTGTTCAGCAGAGGTGCAGCACAGAAAACACTTGGAAAAACAAGGCGGCGGTCAGCAAAGACCAAGGCAGCGTTCATCGGCGCTCGCCGCGCACGTGAGCGGACCACGTCAGAATTCAGGGGCACGTGGTCAGCGCCCGGGTGCAAAGTCGATACCTTGTTCTAGGGCAGTAAATTGGCCGCCGGGTCCCCGATTGCACACTTTTTCCGTCCGTTCCGAGGCAACCCACAACCCGCTGCTAACTTTCTTACTTTTCAAAATGGCGTCTGACAGGGCAAAATGGAGCAAGTTTGTACACAGTTAGATATCGGGTATTAGTAAAATCCAACTAGTGGTCTATTATCATTGCTGCGTTCTAATTGGTTGAGCTACTTCTAGGCTATGTTATAGCCTACTAGTAGCGAAAGCGCCGGCCTTTGAAAACCAAAATAATGGCGGCTGAATCGCGTTTTGCTAGTTAAAGTTGTTTTGTCCTAATATTTTTGACCAGCTAGTTGGATTTTACTAAAACAATTATTCCTCTCGCCCTCATGGCCTCTGAGTCAATAGCCCATTCAGCCTTCGGCCTCATAGGCTGTTGACTCAGCGCCCATTCGGGCTCGAGGAATAATTGCTAACTACACTTTTGTTGGTTGTAACTTTTGATAAGGTTTGTTATAATGCAACTGGAACGTACTTGTTTGACTGGAAGCTGTGGTTTTGTCATTCACAAGTAAACGCGAACAAGGACGCGTAGTTGGGATATCAAAATGGATTAGTACCCCTGACACAGCCCCCAAAAGTCAGAAATTCCAATAACACGTGGGAATTTAGACTACGAGCAGTCTCTTTTTTTTCTTAATCTGTTGAGCGAAACGCGCGAGACACGAAAATGGTCACACGTGTGATGGAAGGCGCGAGACGGGAGAGAAAGGAAAAAAGGCTACCGCTCTCGTTTCTCGCGGCTTTGCCACTCGACTCTCGCTCGCGCGCGCGCACTACTCTTAATAAATCTGACGAAAAAGCGACTGCTCGCAGTCTGGTGGAGATTTGTTTTATATTTAGTCATTTAATAACTTTATTTTCTTTTCCAGAAACATAGAGTACTCATTCCCGAAGAGGAGCTTAAAAGAAAAATATTGCGTAGATCACTAGCGTTTTTTGTTCATCCTAACAATGATGTTATGATTGAATGTCTCGATGGGTCAAATAAATACCCTCCCATAACAGCTATGGGATATCTTCAGCAACGATTTGCCGCGACATACTAAATTAATATGGATATATCAGGGGCGGATCTAGGGGGGGTCTTCCTGCGGTTTTCTAATACAACTGGTATTATCCAAAAAAAAAAAAACTATGTGGTTTATTGGTGCTGAAGTAGAGCAAGAGACGAGTGCACCCCCTCCTAAAAAAAATCCTGGATCCGCCCCTGTATATGAAGATTATACAGAGTAACCGAAATGCCATTATCCAATCATTAGAACTTCGGATGAATTAGGTTTCTGGAAAACTGCCCACCTACCCCTCCACTAAGCCAGCCAACATTATCACTTACCTCTAACTTAGGGCAAAATGTTGGCTTAGGGGAGGGGTACGTGGGCAGTTTCCCAGAAACCTAACTTGTCCCAGAACTTCTACTGACGAATTCATGCAGCTTAGAAATAGCTTTGCGTACACATAATACAGAGATTATTGACACCATTCTGTCTAACGAGAAAAGTGAAATTTTAAGGCTGGAACAACTTGGTTGTCAAAAATAGCAGAGAGAACAGAGCAAAAGAAAATTAAAATGATTAGAGATATTTACATAACACGTTGTTGATCTTTGTTGTTAAGTGTTTGTTGTGATTGAACTGTTTCTTTTTCCCCTGAAAATTTCTTACAATTCTTTACAGTTTCTTTTGTGACTAACCCCTTAAGAAACTTGAAGTTTGGTCCCCTCAGAACTTCAATCATCTGTTGTCACGTGGTGCGAGCAAAGTAATGAAGAATGGCATTTTTCAAGCCTTAACCACACAATTCACACAACAGTCCATTTCAAAGCGTGCTTTTAATATCGACTGAGATAACTACATACTATCTGTAACCATGACAAAACGTCACAAAAAAAATCCACTCTGATCAAATTATGGTTTTATTGTTTACAAAAATAATTCTTTGTAAAAAATCTTTGCTTTACGCTTCCTAGATAGTACTACAAAAGTAGGCAACGAAAAGATGTTTTTGTATCCCCAAAATGATATAAAAGCTTAATATGAGAGGCAGGTGTGTGAAAAGACTGCAAACAGACTCTCTTTTTCTTAAGGTTTAGTGAGGGGAGTGCACGCGCGCGCGGGCGCGGCAGCCTTCAGTCACGCCCGTGGTCATCTGCGTGTCTCGAGTGTTTTGCTTGAAGAGAGACTGCTCGTAGTCTAGTGTGTGAAGGGGAAGGAAATAAGGAAATTTTCACCCTTCAAGTCGCAAGAGTGACCAGATACAATTTTCTCTTTACTATATCAATAAATAATCAAATGAAAAGGTCATAAGAATTAATAAATTGATCGCTAACGGGAAAAGGTTTTGATCTTTTATCAAATTCTCTCTACTAATTCTTTCAGGGAAGATATGAAGATCAGGCCCCGGTTGTTCCAACGTTGGATAGCACTGTCCACCGGAGAAATCACTGTCCAGCGGATACGTATTAGGGAAACCAACTGCGTTTTCCACTGGGTAGCGATTTGTCCAATGGATGGCGTTATCCACCTTTTGAATTACTGGGGCCAGTTTGTTGAAATTGTATCTGGATACTGGGTCTTTAAAGGGTGTGCCCTCCTTACTCCTCCAACTTTTAAATTTGGGGACTTGGGCAACTACTCCAGGTAACTGGTCAAAGACATAAGATACATACGTTCAAGTCAATCTTGGACAGTAGTTTAACCCTGACACATTTATGGTCTAGTCAATGTAATAATTAATAACGTATTCTGTCATGACATTGATACAATGGCTTTCTTCTAATAAGCTACCTCGATGACAGTCGTCACTACCATATTATCAAAGTTAACCCTTTAAGTCCCAATATCCACATACAAATTCTCCAAACAAATCTCTATACATTTCCTTCAAGAATGAGTCGAGAGAATTTGATAAAAGATCAAAGCATTTTCGTTTTGGTGATCATTTTATTACCTCTCATAACCTAAACTCTTGACAATCTGTGTATATCATTGGGAGAAAATTGATGCTGGTCTCTATTGGGACTTGAAGGGTTAAAAGCTGGCCTGCGAATACAGCCTAGCCATCTCTCCTCCCTCCCTGACGCTCAGAGGGACACTGTATTCGCAGGCTAAGTTAAAGCAACCACATCATGATCTTTACAAGAAACATAAAATCCTCTTGAGTTTCCTGTTCTACTTTCCCCTTTGTTTCAGTTTTTTTATCATAATTAATTCACTATTCTGAAAGGGCAGATTCAGCAAAAAGAATGCGAGGTGAAAAAAGAACATTACTGTATGCAGTAAACAAAACAACAACAACAACAAAATATTCAAGTCAAATTTTGATCCGCATTCTGAGTTCCTAGTGACTGGTCTTTCACGTCGCACTCACAAAATCGTTCAGGTTGGCACGTGCAATGAACGTGAACATGCATTTTTAGCACGTGCTGCGTGCCGCTTTTGATGATTGCCAACTCTGCCCTACTTCGCAGTCACAAGGCATCTCAGTTATTAACTGCATAAACGTCAACAGCTCCATCAGTGACGATGGACCTGTTACAAAAAAACTTTAGATTGGTCTCTGTCGTACTTTTTACTTAACTGGAAAGCTCAAGCAACTACAACCGCGACGACAACGAAAACTTCACTTGAAACTTGCTGCTATCCTACCTCGCTCGATTTGTCAAATGTTGTGGAGGCGGGGGGATTTTTCCAAAGGATCGTGACCAAGATCAGAAAAAGGAAAAGAAAATCGTTATCTCGTTTTCATGTCCTCCATAAAACGTGAAATAAGGAGGTTTCACGTCGCAGTCGTCCCACGACGGAAAAGAAATATACAATAAAGTTGTGATGCACGTGCAAAGTCGTTGAGCTGCTAATTTAAACCTATCAGTATTGGTTTTTTTTTGTTGAGGTTCTCGCTGCCGTTGCCGTCGTCATCGCTTCAGCTCTGTATCTCTAAAAGAAAACCTCCGCAGACGGATACTTGGTGCCAGTACTGTCAAAGAGAGAGTTGTCTTTACCTGGAATATAACAGTGCCAAATCCAGACCTTCAGATAAGGAGGGAGGGGGGGGGGAGTTTCCGGTCATCCAGACCCTTAGAAAAGGGGGGGGAGGCAGGCAGTTTCGTCTAAAGATAGGGGGCGGGGCTCCCCTGGATCCGTCACTGTATAAATGCTAGCAGAATAATTATTGCCTGGCTCGTAACACATCTTTACAGGGCAAAGCATAAACAGTTCGCTAAGCACCAATACCACGGCTGCCAACCTTGGCTCCACCGCCATTAAACCTCAGAGATGCACTTAGTTCGCAGTCTCCCCTACTTCCCCTTCGAAGACTGGACCAAGAGACACTGGAGACAAGGTTGCGCCGACATTTTAAAAACTCTTAGACTTAAATTAATACCTTGCCTTACATTTGATACTGCTCCTTGGTCTTTTTTTTTCTTTTTCCATAAAATCGGAACATGCTTCCCACTCTTATGCCCATCTACATTCTTGGACTACGAGTATTTAAATAAAGATAAATAGAAGTAAAACCCTGTAATCTTAAATATCACCCCTAGCATTGGTTATCCGGAACAAGTAAGCTCTATCAAACAACATACGTAACCATATACCTTTCAAAAAATCGGATAAAATAAAAACCTCGTTGATTTCCTGTCTGACTCTCTGTATACACCGTCCTTAAGCTTCAACTACCATAGTGACATGACACGAATATTTTGTCCTATAAATTTGCACGAAATAGTTACTAATCAACTAAAACCGTTTTGGCAGCATTTTGCACGGTTATAACCCACTTTTTCGGGGGGAAAGCTACGATGAGTACTCTAGCAAATGCTTAAATTTTGACTATGGTAGATAAACCAGGAGCACACATTCTTTACCTTAAAATTTAGGGACGTCTTTCTGATTTGTTTTCTAGATATAATTTAAGTGTCTTAGAAATACTGTTTTGCATTTACACGTCTGAAGTACTTTCGTGATTGCTCCTTAGCACTGCTTTGTGATTGGCTGAAAAATCTTAAGTCAATTTTCAACCAATCACAGTTTACACTAAAACCAGTCATGACCTGCTCACGTGCATTTTCCCGCCTTTCGCACTCGATATTTTTTCGTCTCGAAATCTGATTGGTTTATTGGATTGTCAGCTCGTGTTGTGATTGGTCGGGTAATAAAAAAAACACCTATTGTGTTTTTTAAATTGAAAACCGTTTTCAGACAGTGCTATTTTTTAAATCTTTTGCCTAAATATTAAGCAAAAATCGGGTGCCACTGATAAATCCCACCTTGCTACATCAATGGTAAGACGTATAACATAGTTAAGACTGAACGAAGATAAAAAAGTATAGGAGGAAATCAGTACGAGTATAAAATAAACCAATAACCGTTTTGCGATCTGTTTTTCAGTCTTAAAATGAAGAACATAAAACTTCAATGATCTTACGTGTGTTTGACACACAACAGTTGTTATAAACTGCTAGAAATAACAGGATTTTAACGCATCCTTGGGCGGTGAATAAAAAACCATATATTCCCTCAACTACAAGACATTACTTTCTTGGTAGCCTCTACAGAGAGTTTAATTTAATAACACTAAGAGCTTGTCACTACTATTTCTGTGCAGCCTGGCTGGAAGTGAATTTTTTTTCTACAAAATTGGTTTCAAAAAATTCCATGGTTTACAAAAAACGTGCAGGGCAGAATCTTTTTCATGGCACAACTTCTGTAATGGTATTACCAGTTCTAATTTGGCTAAGCTAAAAAAACCTCAAGTTTGTTTGAAAAAGAATGATGTGATTAGTGATGTGTTCCTCTTATTTCTCTCTAAAAATCTAAAAACGCATTTTTTCCCCCATTCTTTCGCGGTATTTTCGCATTTCCCAAAATTTATCTTTTAAATTATTATTCTGCCCACTTTCTAGGGTAAAATTTCCCAACCAACCAGACTACAGTGGCAAGCCAACTAAAAATACCTTATATTACTTGCTCCCTCCACTGGGGCTGGCATTTTCATAGCAGTTCAACGTGATCATACATAGACATATCCATGGATTTCTTTAACCAAGACTTGTTTCTTACGCTACAAATCCTACAACATTTTTTTTACTTTAAACTTAACTTACACTTACACATTAACACTTAACTAATACATAACTAGCTTTAAAAACTATGAGCTACATGTTTCTCTTAGTGGTGATACTTGTCTTCAAAACAAGGCATTTTAAGAAAATGCTTGACAATTATGGGACAGCGATGCATTTTTAAAAATACACAAACTTGACACAAACACTAGTATTTAATGAATTCATCCCAAGACATCATGCTCTTGAAATTACGTCAAAGGTCTCGATCAACTGGGCTAGTCTAGTTCATGACACTGGCCAATAACACTAGGGAGGGGTTAGTTTAAGGGCAAAACAAATAGAAAACATTACCCATTATACTAGGATAGAATGCTAGAATGGGCGTACATTTACTTGGTGTGAACAAACACACCCTAGCTTAAAATGTTTCAATTTGATTAACGTACCATAAACCAGTCCGTCTAATGACTGCTTCTTAATCTAAAAAGCTCATTGCTTGTGAGCCGAAAACTGTGAAATTTCTTACAAGAGCGATTACACTAACAGTCTTGTAATGAAACTATAATTGCCTTGGTTTTCATACCTAGACAACTGGAATTTTTAGAATAGTGTCAAGCATTTTAACAGTGGAAAGAATACACCACTTTTGTCAATATATTATAATAGTTATAATTTTTTAAATCCTATAATTCAACAATTACATAAGCCGTAAAAGTAAGTTCATTTATCCTGGAAGGTTTTTCAGTGTGTTGAATAATACTTTTTCTTCTTTGGGGAAATAGGATGGTCGAACTGTTTTCCATGAATAATATTATTTTTAGAGTTATAGTCAAGATAACTTGATTTGAAGTTGTTCTTTTAACAATGCAATATAATTTGATAGTATAAAAATAATGTGTACTAGCGTGAAAATTTCATGTTGAATATTAGTTTTTCTTCTTTGGGGAAATAGGATGGTTGAACTGTTTTCCATGAATAATATTATTTTTTAGAGCTATAGTCAAGATAACTCGATTTGAAGTTGTTCTTTTAACAATATAATATAATTTGATTGTAATAAAAATAATGTGTACAAGCGTGACAATGTCACAAAAAAATATTCGCAGGTGTTCTGTGTGAACAAAATATATAAAACACACAAATTTTGGATCATTAATCGTTTCTGGGAAAACGCCCACTTACCCCTCCCCCAAGCCAATGTTAACACTTACTTCTCACTTAGGTCAAAATGTTGGCTTAGGGGAGGGGTAGGTGAGCAGGTGCTGTGTGAACCTAGCCAAAATTCATCGTTAAAATTTAAGAAACCCAGAAAGTGTTATTACCTACAGTAAACCTTGCTCTACGAAAATCCACAGGTGATGCAAAGTTGTTTCTCTTCTTCAAGTCTTTACCCTCTTGTCACTGTGACTTTCTTTATACAATGTTCTTGCCGTCTTGGGTGCCTGCAATGTAGGGCTTGAAGATGATCTGTGACAAGCTGGATTTGCACCAGTATTGTGCTTCTCTTTGACAACCTTTAAGCCAAAAATATATATAATGACACCACAGTCTTTACCATGATTACTGAAGAAGAAAATGAGGGCTAAAAATTCTTTTTGGGCAATGACTGGTCTAAGCTCATTCGTGGCTCATTTTTTACTGATAAAAATGTTAAATTATAAATTCAAAAACTGTTGAATTATTGACTTATCATAAACCATTAACTGGTATTCACAAAGCTGCAGAACATGACCGTCAGACAGCCTCCAATCTGTATTCTTAATTCTCTTAAGTATTTAATGATTTAAATGTTTTCTGTAATTTACAGAGTTAATGTGAATAAATTTATTTCTCCAGATATTTATTTGAAAGCCATGCACTTGACCGGTCAAAATGATTGGCCAAATGAAACTTTGTCTGGATAAATGACCAACTTGGCTGGACACTGTCCACTGACCAGCCATTAGTTTGAGCGCTGAGAATCGTCAACTTAATCAGAAAAATAAGTTATGTATGCTACTTAAGAGCATCCCTGCACTCTGGCTCATCCACAAGCAAACAAAGAAAATTCCTCATCATGACCCATCAAGCAAAGAATTGAATTTTTAGGTATTTGGGTCATCCTGTTTAGCAAGTTATCTTCAAAGCAATTTTGTTCTGAATGTCAGTTCACGATTGAGTACCACAAACTAGTTGGTGCCTACCATGTGATGATGATGATGATGATGATGATAATGATGATGATGAGAATGATGATGATCAGTATGATAAAGATTACGATGATAATGATTATGATAAAGATGATGATGATCACCATCATTTTATTTGATGACAGAGGTTATATATGTATGTCAGCTTAAAATGAAAAAAAAAAACAACTAATTCTACATCCCCTAATCTCTACCAACAGCAGAGAGAGTTCCTTTATGCCCCACATAATCAGTATGTTAGATGTGCGAAGTATGATTTTTTGTCCTTAACCGAGGATAAGTAAAAGATAAAAAACACCAAATATTTCGGGAGGGCACATGAATGAAGAAAAGGCACTCACATTTGAAGCAGTAACACACAGGATCTCATCAACAGGGACTAGAGCACCATAGCTGGGTGGACAGGAAAAATACTGAACTCCATCTACGGATCCATTGTGATTACCAACTAAAAAATCACAAACCATAGAAGTTAGTTCAATCTAGTTACAAGAGTCCATTTGTGACCCTATTTGGGAAAACCGGGCTTAACGAAAACCGCGTTCAAATGCATTTCAACGAATTTTAAATGCATTTAGAATGCAATACAACGCTGGAGAACGATTCACAACGCATTTGCAATGTTCCCCAATTCATTCATGAAACACCACCAATGTTCTTAAATGTTCAAGAATGATCTTGAAATGATTTCCAATGCATTAGCAATGCAATGGAAACGCTTCACAAAGCTTGTTTAGAAAATTGTAAAATCAGAATGAAAATAATAATATTCAATTCACCTTTGGAGTGACAACGTGACAAGCTGCGTTCGGGCAACATAAAGATTAAGCCCCGGCTAAACGATCAAATAGTTTCATCGAACATCGTTTCGGAAGAGCATCTTTGACCGTTTAGCCGCCTCTCTCATACGCATTTAAGTGGCTTTTCCATGTTTGATCTTGGTCGAATATTTTCAACCAACATTAATTTTTCGCGTTACGAACAAATGTTTGATCGTTTAGCCACCCCAACAAACAAACTGCGCACAGCTAGTAAAAAGCAACCTAATGAATTATGGAAATATATAATGTCGAAATTTCAGCGATAATAAGCAAAAATTGTTCTGTGGACTCACTGTGTCTGGTGTTGGTTCGAGTTCCCTTTTTTTTAGAATGATTCGCTGCGCTGCTTGAAATGTTTTCAAGGATATGCCATGTACTGCACGTCGGTATTTTGTTTTCACTTTATTATAAACTCGGCCAGGTTTCGAAAAAAATAGCGTTGTTTTCTTGGCTTTGTCGTTCGCTTTTGGCCCGTAATTCTTTTTTATTCTTATTTTTCCATTTGCTAGTTAGATTTTCCCCCCAACGTCAGATTTTCCAACAGAAGCGACTTTATTCTTCGTATCAAGCTTTTCTTATCTCCTCGTGTAATCTGATCCTTTTTAGTGGTGAGAATTGCTTGTTTCACATGGAAAACTTTTCTTTGTTTAGACTGTTGTTTTACAGGCTTCTCTTCGTTAAAACCTTACATTAATAACTCCTTAAATTAATACAATGCATTAAGTTTTCATTTTCCTTGACTGCTGGGGCCAGATTTAGGTGAACAAACAATAAAAGCGTACCACATTCAAGTTCAGTCTTCGCGTGCCGCCGAGGAAAGAACACACGTGCGCCAAGTATAGTTTACCGCCTTTTGATTGGCTGAAACTGTCACACCACTTAGTCTCAAAGGAATCTACATTACATGAGGTTACACTTTTTGAAGCTCGATCGAGAATTTTTCTGCCTACAGCCGAGTCTTGCGCGGCTCTGTTCTGCTGCCGCCTCGTCGCTCGGATGGCTCGTTGGCAATCCGTTTGAGAGCAAGTTATGATGGATTTTTATTTAATACGTGGGAACAATGCCGAAAGGAGAGAAGGACCGCAAACGTTTGTTCGTGACAATGCTTTGAATGTCTGCATGTCACTCGTTAGCTGCTTGTTAGTGGTTTTCGTGGTTAACGTGGAAAAAGCCACGGACACGAAAGGTGAACGGCCTAGAGTTAACGATTAAATTTTGCACGGTGAAAACTAAATTGGCTGCCTCTACATCTCGGAAATTTAAAAGTTTAAAATATCAAGTAGATTTCTAAAGTTCAATATTTGCATTTGCTGCTCGATTTGGACACAGTGCATGTTCATTGATTTCGCCGACATATTCAAGGTTCTTGTGTTCTGTTGGGTTGTCTGCACTTTTGTGAATGTTTTTCAATGCGATACTGCTTCACTGAAATGCATTGTGAACGTTTTAAAACGAGGTGCAAATGATTCAAAATGAATTCAAAATGATCTTCAATGCATTTCGTTTTCGTTCGCGAACGTTGTCAATGTTCTCAAATGCATTGAAAATGATCTGTAATGCATTCGATCGTTTCCAAAATGCGTTGAAATGGAAAAACGGTTCAACGTATTTTTCGTTAAGCCTGGTTTTCCCAAATAGGGTCACATTTATGGTACTCTTAATACTATGATTTTTTTTTTGTAACAAATCCTTGATGTCCCAGTACTTTCTAGACTTTCTCAAGGCCCATATCTGGTCTCTACTCATGCCTTTGGCACTCACGCAGTCAACTTGTGGCTAGTCTTAGCAATTTCCTGTAGGACATTTATGATGCTGTACAAGGTGATCCTAACTTTTGATTCTGAGGATGAAAATCTATGACGTGAACATTCAAATGAAACCTCTTTTGCAGTACTTGTACAAAAAACATTTTTTTAGCATTTTGTAAAAAATCTGACATTTTTCTTTACCATTCAATCTTAGGAGCTTCACTTTAGGAGTTTCTAAATAGGGTGGGTCTTTTATGACAAGAGAATGTTATCACTGACAGCGAGTGCAACTTCGACAATGAGTTTACCAACTGAGCACACTGCCCATCAGTTCTATGCAGCTGCTTGTGTTCAACTGATTCTGCCAAGTCGCGATATGATGAGTTCTCATCGGAAAGTCGAAGTGGGGGAACAAATTTGACAGGAAGTCCTAGACATTTTTGAGCAACACTATCGTCATTCTGATTCAATGTAAACAACTTACAGCGAAAACATCCATCTGGCTCAAAAGTGGTGCACAAATCGCCAGCTCTTCCTATAGTGACATTTTTTCACCAACAACAACTTGAAATATCCACTTACATGACAGGTGCGGAGCCTGCCTTCAAGTACAAAATGCATTCTACTTACTGTCAACGTCACTCTCATTGTCAATACCAACATTCACTACTGTCTTCACTTAGACATCTGGGATAAGTTTAGGTTTCTGGGAAACTGCCCACCTGCCCCTCCCCTGTGCTAACACTCTGCCCTAAGTGAGAGCTAAGTGTTAATATTAACTTAGGGGAGGGGTAGGTGGGCTGACAAATGCACTACTGTTCCTCACCTGGTGAGTCTAAGTGAAGTCCCACATATGACTGCTTTTTGCCTCCCACAGGGCCAATATACCTCACTACACCTGGACACAAAACAACAATTCCATCCTTTTCAGACAAACACAAAAACAACCACAAAAAAAAAGTTCTACAAGTTCCATAATAATAGGGAGTTTAACAGTAATGAGAATGGCCCAAAGGGACACAAATCAGTCACAAAAGAAAATAAACAATAAGGAGTTTAAGCAACCACAACCATGGCGACCACAATGTAAAAAAAAAATGGTTTTATGACCAAAACAACTGCTCTGCACTTGCACCACGATTTTTACTACATCTTTGACGTCCACTACATGATTACAATGTGAAACCTTCTAACGTGATATTTTATGGAGGAAGATACAAGGACGAAAGTTTCCTAAATCTCTTTTTGAAGCCAGATGAAGTCCTTAAGAATTCAACTCCATGAGAAATCACCTACATTTGATAAATTGAGCGACTCCAAATAGACGCGATAAAGTTTGAAAGGATGCAAATTAATATTTTTAGTGATGTTTTCACTACTATCGTCATCGTGTTGTTTAAGCTCCCTAATAATGCATGGCGAATTCTATAGAACCACTGTGCTTTTCATTCACCAAGCAACTTACCTGTCAAATGGCTTCGAACAACAACATGGTCACCTATACGGGGCAAAATCTCTGGCCTTGTAAGAGACAAAAAGAAAGGCAATAGCAAAGATTACAAAGAAAGAAGGTGTTAAATAGATAAGAACATACATAACAATTGCTATGGAGTACATTGTGGTACTGATGTTCGAGTCTATGATTGAAGCCCCTATGATGCGACCAATAAGGGAGCACTTTTACATGGAACTACAGCAGAACTCCAGTAACCTGAACTCTGAAGGGAAATGATAAACGGTTCAAGATAGCGGGGATTCGTGTTATCAGGATCAATCAAATATTCAATTTGCCGTGTTAATAATTAATAGTTACTGATTTTTCAGCACTTTAAAGTATAGTACGGTGCAAATGTAACTTATTTCATGCGAAACAGTAACACGAGTTTCCATTCTTATGATAAAACGTGATCTGTTCATCACACCAATTAAAACCAAAATTTACAGTTAGTTGCTATTATACAACAAGAAAAGGTGATGGGATATCATCTGAGAGGAGTTACAACAACCATTTTTTTAGTTACCCAGGTAATTTTTTGTGAAATTTTGATCAAGGGAAAGAAAATAAGTTTCACTTAGTAGGGAATTCGAGTTATCTGAGTTTGCATTAACTGAGTAAGTGCTCTGAACCTGTAAAATCCAGGGTTCCCAGGATATGATTTGTATGAAAAATCTTTGATTTTCTAGTTGCCCAAGAGCAAAAGCTGGGTGCCATGGGACACCGGGCTCTGCTAGAGCACAGCCTGTATAATGTTGTTGCTGATGTTGTTAGGAGAAAATTAAGGTTGGTCACTCTTGGGATCTAAAAGGTTAAACAATCAAATTCAGTAAGATAACCCAACTTGAGGGACAGGGACATACCTCTTAGGATGTTTCTTGCCAATGTCTGTTGTGTGATGACCACATAATACTTCCTTTTCCTCTGACACTGCCTGCACACATCCTCGACACTTGCACTGTGAGTACATGTCAATGGGCCTGATTGGCTGCAGATGAGACTGTGGATTCTATAAAACAGAGAATGTTAGTGGCTTAAATCAGCACTGTTGGTGGCTAATGGTGAGTGTGCTGGACTCCAGATGGAAAGATCCAATCATTATAGGTTTCGGGGAAACTGCCCACCTACCCCTTCCCTACGCCAACATTTTGCCCTAAGTGAGAAATAAGTGTTAATGTTGGCTTAGGGGAGGGGTAGGTGGGCATTTTCCCAGAAACATTATAATGAGCTGAAAGATCTAGTTGCAACTAGACATTTTGCGATGCCAACACTTGTATCCTCATGAAATGACATCTGAAGAAAGAGTGAAGAAATTCCATAATGACGCGTTACTACCCAGAATTGGGAAGTATTTCTGATTGGTTGAAGCAGGTTCCCCCCCCCCCCACCCCCACCTCAGCAATACCATTCAGAAGCACTACCCAGATCTGTGTAGTGACAGGTCATGAGAATGGAATTTCTGTGCTCATTTCTCAGACATCATTTCTTGGCCAAACCAGTGGAGGTGTTGCAAAATGGCTGTTTTCTCAGGCTACACAGGACAGTTTTGAGAATCACTGCAATGATCACAAAGTGAAACAGGAGTTGATCATTCAACAAATTCTCCTCATTAGCAAGCAAAGAATATACATATGGCAAACAGACAGGAGAATATGTATGCTACCGTTAAGGCTTAACTTACAGGAGAAACTTTGTATGGAGATGAAAAAGGTCTGAATCCTTTTCTCCGTTGATGTGGATGGCAGCTATTGAGGAACCAAAATGTTCATATTATTCACAGCATTTCAACGACAATGACAAGAACTTTGAATTGATGCTAGGAAAAATTAATATCCAGACTAGTTTTCATCATTTCGCAAAAAAAAAATTATGGTTTTCTTTGAATCAAAAATTAATGCCTGTCTCACTGACTAAAAAAAAAAGATCTTTTAATTTATATGTATTCACCAGGCTTCACCATCACACTTTCAATCTTCTTCAAATTTGTTCATGCCCTCTTTTGTACAGTATGCGACTTGTTGTTTATAACTTCTTTTAATGTTTTGACCAGTTAATTTTGTTACACTCAATTTGGTGGAGTTCCCTCCGTGTGAATTTTGTTTACTATATGACACATCTCCTTTAAAAGCTGCTAAACTTACACCCTGGGTTTGTTATCAACTGCTTGGCCATGATTTCTTGCTTGTGGGATATGTGGCAGTTCATTTTCATGGCTCAGGTCTTCCTGTGAAAAGTAACAGTTTGACAGGTCATTAGTTATTCTTCATGGAAGAGTCTATCTCACAGATGAAAAAAGAAAAAATCATGTGTTTTCAATGTACTGGTTACAATGACAATTTTAGAGGAATGAAATTATAATGAAATTACTTTGAGGGGTGTTAGTTAAATGGCCATCAAAGCATCAAGGCTGTGCTCTGAGAAAAATTATTGCAGGAATGGATTGAGGTTTATGCACAACTAAAAATCTCTTAAGATTTCCAAGGGCAATGGTAAGTTGTCAGGGGTAACTCGGTGCTTCTTGAGCACAGCCCTGTTTAAAAGTACTTTAGTCACATTCTTAGGGCAGTTCTCCAGGTCTAACATTTGTTTGCTCAGCCAGCTTGGAGGACGTTTGGCTGTAGTAAGAGAATGTGACTTACATTGAAATTTTTAACATGCATTGCAATACTGTTAGTAAAGCTAACACCAAGGGTCCTTGGTGCTTAACTGTTGCTCTTGAGTGACATCCCATGCTGGGTACCCTGGATTTCACAGGTTCAGAGCACTGTGCTCCCTGCAACATTTTCTTAAAGCACAGCCTTGATTAGAACAGTGGCCATATAGTGCTTTTCTAAGTCACGCAGTGAATAAAAACACAAGATTAAGACACTCACTGCTTCTCTCTGGGTTGATGGTCCTGGCAAACTATCAAGACAAAGGAAAGTTAGCTTGTGATCAGGCTCCCAAGAGGAGTGGGGTAAAAAAGAAAAATCTTAGCCTAATGAGATAGGGATGTATAACTTGATAACAATGACCTGGAGATCTTGGAATGTCTATCTTTGCTTTCAGTGAGAAAATGCATACAGCACATGGGAAATCAGAGAAATCAATGAGCCAGTCTTAAAGTTTAATGATTTCAAGAAACACATTGTTTTGTTATGCAAGACATTATAGGGCAACAAAATAAACTGCCAGGAAGGTTGACGTTTTTTGTGTGACGTCGGCCTAATAGAGTGAAAATCTTGCCCCAGAAAGCTTAAGACCAAAATTTGATTAATTCTACGCAACATTCATTCATGGTATTTCATCTGAAAGTATTGGTGATTTAACATAGGAGTACAAGGGTAAAGCGCTTTATTTATTATTTACCAGTACTCAGTATTTTTCTTCAGCACGACCCAGACCATTAAGTTGAAAAGGTTTAATAAGTGTTCTTTACTTACCTAGTTTTGCCTTTGCTTTGTTGTTCTAACTGTTTAGCAAGGGACGTGACTGTTTGAGAAGCAGTAGGTTGACCCTCAGAGATTGTCTGTAAATATAGAATGATAATCAAAGCAAAAATTATCGAGGACTGCCTACTTTAGAAAAGTATGAACCCCACCCCTACTGTTCTACAAAAGCAATATTACTGTTAGACTGTGTCAGGTTTTGGTCAGTGCAGATGAGCGAAAAAAGTGAGCAAGCAGTGAAATAGTGAAGGAGTGAAAAATGGCGGGACAAGAGAAGGGGAAAGCCCGTAAGTATCTTTTTAAATACCTCAATCTGCCCACTTCCTGAAAAACTGTTTCCCATCAAGGCAAAAAGTCTCACTCTTTTACTCTTTTTGCCTTGGACGACTGAAACTCATAAAGCAACTCGTCCAACCGGACGAGTAAAATTTATCTTGAGCAATATTCTTTTTTCTGCTTTGTAAGATCTGGAGTCAATAGCTTGCATAGAATATAGTACGGGTCGCAACGTCGAAATCTAATTTGGCAGTGTTTTATTTTCTCTGGACAAGTGGATTTTATGTTCGGACAACCAAAATCTGCACAGTACTTGTCCGATGGAAAAGTGAAGTGAAAAAAGGTTTTTTGCCCTGCTCATGACAAAAGTCAAAAGGTGCTGTGTAGGAGGGTTACACATGCTTGACATCTTTGATAGCCTTGGCACAAATGAGTGGAACAATACAGCTGGGGCATTTATTTTAAATCAATTTTTGACTTACAGGGAAAACAGTCGCTTCCTTCTTCTTTAGAGACTGTGATAGCAAAAAAAAAAAAAAAAAAAAAAAAACTGTTATGGGAACTTATCATTTTTTATATCATATCAGAGAAACTAAATTCTGTTTCAACAAAACACAACCAAAAATAATAACAGAAGAAATATTTATCATCAGAGTGATTATTCATCACAGTGTATTTTATTAAACAACTTATAATTCATTCCAACCACCACTGTAATCATTACCATTATTATAGACATTAAAAAATTAATAATCACTTAATTAGCATTATCATTATTTACTATTACTAATAATAGCATCAGTTGCTTTTGGCAACAAAATATAAGAACATCACTATACCTCTATTTCATTTCTTAAAGTAATCAACTCATTTTTGAGGTGGATATTTTCTTCTTGTACTAAAAAGAGAGAGAAGCAAAACAGACAACAGATTTAATGCAAGAGAATTTCTCGGTGTTACCAACAACAACTAAAAACTATGACACCTTACCTTTCAACCAATTTTCTTCGGCTTTCGTCATTTTATTGTGAATCTGTTTTTTACAAAGGAAAGAGCAGTCATGTCAAGAGCATGTTAACAAGAAACATTTTGGGTTCTTCTGCATGTACCGGCACAACAAAAGAAAAACGAAAACCAAACAATAGGTCTCATTTAATTAATTTGGAGTTACATTGCTGGTCTTTTTAATGTTTTTTGTTGTTGTTGTTGTTATTGTTTCATGCACTCTGCACATGGTATGTGCAAAGGAAACTGTACAGGAACACATGTATACAAAAAAAATTGGGTCAGCCTGATTATTAGACAAAGCTGGAGGAACATCACCGCTTCTTTTGATCTAGAATAATACAACCATTGCTTGTCATGACTGACAAAACCAGTGGTCATAAGACTCAATTTTCCAAATCCTAATTTTAACATGGGCAAGATATCAGAGAGGGATATGCAAGTATGAGCTTAGTTTGTGTAGCCATTATGGTATTGTCTCTGCTGGAACAAGTTGCTGCATCCTGCTACAACAAAAATGAGCTTACAAATCAAACATACAGTACCTGAACTTCATCTCTTTCATCAACATTTGGACAACCTAAGGAACAAGACAATAATTATTCCAAGATTTTTCTAAAAGTTGCAGTTACACCTTGGCCATTTAAGGCTGAATCTCTTGAAGTTTAAGTAAAAAAATTTTACAGTTTGGTTCTCACATTTAAAGTTTGATGCTTAACCTGTGTCGCACATTGATTTAACCCTAGTTAATAACTCTGTGAAGCAGTGCCAATATCCTTTTTCTGGGCTCCCAAGGGACTTAGCCAAATACCAGAAATAAGTCTCAAATTTTAACCTGATTGGCAAATCGAAAATGGCTTTTTTTAACAGGCCAATCAAGGTGCGTACTAAAATCCTGGTACACAGGCGGGGCCCAGAAAAAGGATTTCGGCGCTGTTTCGCAGGCAAAATTCATCAGAGCAAAGTTTTGTCTGAGGCCCAGGCTATTTGATGCAGGTCACACACCCATCTAAACTGCACAAGGTAACACCATCCCTTCTTCAAAATTTCAAAGAAAAATTACTGTGTCTAACCTTTGTTCGACACATCCTTTACAGGTGTCCGGTTTGCATCAGTTGGTGAGATTTCTGTCTGGTGTGCCTGTGCAGCTTGTTGATTTGAATTACTGACATACACTTCCTTGAGAAGGGGACTTGTGGTTCGACTAGCTAGGACTGGCTTAACCTGAATTGCCTATTGAAATAAGAATAAACTCATCACCAACAGATTTACTTGGGTGCTGGGGCCTACAAGGCTGGTGGAGTCAGGCAATGCATTAGCACAAGGATGGAGGTATCCATTGCCACCCTGTGAGGGGACCCACCAGGCACTGCCATGCTGAACTGTTCAGCGAAATACTTACCAACCAATACTTACCTAGCCCTGAGTTAGAGCGGGAGGGAAGGTTGGGAAAAACAGTACAGAAATGGCAAGCAAGCAATAAGGCTATAGCAACACTTTGTGAAGAACTGAAAGCAAGAAACTGTGTGCACAAGTCATGAGGTGTCCCTGCTAGAGGGCATCAGACGGCCCTGAGCATAAGTGAGAAAAATGCTGCCCAGTATTGCAGTTTCGAGGTTAACTTTGCTTAAATTTTATTTAGCCACATTTTTTTAATACCACGACAATATTATTACCCAGTCCAGCTATATACAGTCAACTGTCTCTTGGACAGACACCTTTTGGGGGACTGGTATTAATTTTTAATTTGACACTTGTTTTTAGTAATTCTAATTTTTCTCGTAACTGTAGTATGCATGACCCCACCAGCACTGCTGATCTTCTTATCCCGTTGAAATAAAAAATTATCTATCTATCTAAGATAAAATAAAGGCATTCATAAGATGACTGTTTATGGTTTGGTTAGTACGTTTCTCAGATACTTTACCTTGGTTTCAGTGTATCCGCTAGTAAGTGAACCATTTTTCTTTGACCTCGCTCTACACCTCAGAATCTCTTTGTTCTGTAGGTTGATGATTTGTTCCAGCCTACAAAAAAGAAACCAAGAATAATAATATTGACTACCGTCGACTCCTGATAACTCAAAACTTCAATGGAAAAAGGACAAAGTTTGAGTTATCAGGAGTTCGAGTTATCGAGGGTAAAATTATAAAGAAAACTATCTGAAGAGAAATGAAAACTGCTTCGAGTTGGTGGGAGGTTCAAGTTATAGAGGGTTCGAGTTACCACGAGTCGACTGTATCAGAAGAAGTAATGACAGCCATTCCCATATTATAGCTATATATCTGCAAGTGATTCACAGGTCAGCTATTGGCCAATTTTTTTCTCTGTCCCCAGCAACAATCCAGCAAGTAGCTTGAGAAAACAGCTGACATTTGGCAATGTTACCACTGGTTTCCCCGCCAAATGGTGTCTGAGAAATGACGGCACAAATCCCATACTGATGACGCGTCACTACCCAGATCTGGGTAGTGCTTCTGATTGGTTGAATCAACTTTCCCATGGCACGGTCAATCAGAAGCACTACCCAGATCCCGTCATCAGTATGGAATTTCTGCACTAGTTTCTCAGACGTTATTTGGTGGCGAAACCAGTGGTAGTGTCGCCATTGAAATGTCAGCTGTTTTCTCGGCTATCCAGGAAGTATTTGTGAAAGTTAATTCAGCCCAGTTTAATCCTTCTGGTTTCTTAAGTGCCAAATTCCCAGCCTGCCCTGAAAAAAAATGTCTGCTTAACCCTTTAAGAACCAATATCCACATACAAATTATCCTGACTGACCTCCATACATTCCTTAGAAAACTGGGTGAGAGAATTAGATAAAAGATCAAGGCATTTTCCCTCTTCTCTCGATGACCAGTATGTATTGAAATATTGTTCAAAAGAAAATTGATTTAAGTCACTTTTGGGACAGTCCACTCTCAGTTCCCAACCCCTCTGTTTTCTTTCACACTGTTTAGAAGGTAAAAGCCATGAGAAATATCAATGCAGCCATGGAGTACAGCTATTTTTCACCTCCTCAATACAGCTTTCCCCCCCTGGAGTCAAAGTTAATAAGGGTACATGCATTGAAATATATAAAATCGCAGCTGATTTACATTTTTCAGTCTGCAGTTTGACCAGCATGCACGCTAAAGTGAAAGTAAATCACCTTAAAATTAAAGTACAAGTACATTCTCCATACTATATTTATTTACCCCTCTGTTAAGGTGAATTTCTACAGCCCTGGGCCCAGTTTCAAGTGCGGTTTTCTCATCTAAGAACATGCAACTCGAGGTCACAAAACACTGTTGAGCCTTTACTCCGAGATACAGTAATGATAACACAAAATGTTACCATAAGCAATGCATAGGAATATAAAATACAAAAATGGAACAAAATTTTAATCCTGGATTAACGCTAATCGGCCTTTCAGGAACCCGGCCTTTAATTTTTGTGAGGCTGTGCACATAAACTTTAGCCCTTTACCTTCTAGACAAATTATGATGAGACTTTTTGTCGCTTCAACTTTTAAATCTGTGAAGCAAATCCTATGATGTTACCATTTTAATGAAACATATTTGGCAGAACTTTTGCACTATAATAACTATTTCTTAGGGTAAAACAAGTAATTTTTTAACCTTTTTGTGATTTTTTCTTCTTTGAGTGGCTTTGCGTCCATAAATAGAACAAGGACAATGACTTTTGTATGAAAGGTTGCATGCAAACGTGATTAGGTTCAGTGAACTTGCACCAGGCTGAAATACGTGGAATTTGCTTCAAAATTAGGCACTTACAAATGAACAACACTGATTTTCTGTAAGCAATATAAGACTTTCTCAGTGATCCTACCAACACTAACAGTTGTAAGGCTGTCAGTGAAGGTATAACATTCATTTAGCAGCACATCTTATTTATTCAGCTGTGTTTTGACTATTTTCTCCAGTGTCAGAGGTAATGAAAACAAAGAGGCTGCGGCCAGTTTGAAAATAAGAAGATTTCAACTTTTTTTTTCTTCATAATCTAAATCATCTGAAAAAAGTGGATATCAGTTTAACAGAGATAACAAAACAGTTATTGGTTTAAAGTTCACTGAACTCAGGAAAATGTAAACAGGCACAAGGTGAACTCTGCTTGACTTGTCTAGCAAAATTCTTTAAAATATAAGGGATTCTTTTTCTTTCAGTCAAAAGGTGTTTCATGCAGTCTAGACGAAACCACCTTTAGGGCGGGGATGGCAAATTCAAAAATAACTGGAGATTCAGACCGATAAACTGTATGACCTGGCTGAAATGTTGAACAAATATGCCACAAAAAGCATCCAAAAAACTTGTGTGCATCTTTTCATAAAAAGAAAATTGCTCAAGTACGCTCATAAACTAGCCTCAGGGCTAAAGAGCTAAGTTGAATTGAATGGTCACACCAAAAAGGGCTGACTCAGAAGTTTCAAGCCTGTCATAAAACATCTATCTTCACAACTGGCTGTGGTTTTGAAAAGGTTAAGTTTATTTGCATTGAATAACAGTACCCTTTACACTTACATCTGAATAAACTTATGAATATTTTGAGTCAAGTAAATTTTTCTGACTTATCCCTTCACAACCAACTAGCATTCTTTAATTTTAAGGCAACTTATCTTTATTTTCTCCAGGGGGGTTAACTAATTAAGCTTGATTGACATGTTTCATCTGCATCAAAGCTCAAGAAACCATACATTTTTTGTAAGTCAGACAAAAGGATGGGTTTCCAAGTCACTTGAAACTTCACTGCATTATTTCAATTTTCCAACTTGAATGAGATGCAAAGTAAAGTAACTTGAGATTTTACTTAGGCCTTCACACGATGAACAGCCAAGAGCATGCGCACTAGGACCTTCAATTACTTTTGGGGAATAAAAATAATGGACAACACAACACCCAAAACTTAGGTCAAGAAGTCTGCTTTCCTAGTGTCTTTGACTAGCACAATATTAGAATGCTAGAACGTTGATAAATTGTAACCAAATTATACCAACAATATTTAGCACAAAATAGAAGCTGAGCTTTTGCTGCTGAGACAACAGAAGTTAGCTAAATATATATTACATGTACTTATCAAAATTTAGAAACAAGCTAGTGTCTTTAGATGGTATATTTGTCTCCACATAGGGTAAGACAAGAAAGAGTATAGCTACAAAGAGCCATAATGACTGCAAATTAAATGTGGCTATAAACATAATTAAATATGTAGGCAAAGTTAACTTGGAGCTGATGCAGGCAGCAGTTTCCCCCTTTTCAATGTATGTGATCCAAAGGGTGGTCCCTTACTGAGTTATTTTACCGTTGCATATTGCATTACAGGTAAGATATTCATTGCAAATCATTTTGCTCGAAGGCTGATTGGCACCAACCCAAGTCTAACCCACATATCAGTAACTTACTTATCAGAGTTGTCTTGGGTTGTTATTTTTGGCTTAATATAAGTGGATCTCTGATCAAAGTCCATTTCACCTAACTCAAGGTTTAAGTTAATCATCTTTTGCCCAGATTGGCAATAATAAGCTACTCAACATTAGGGAGGGCTGTAAGTCTAAGAACCCAACGATTTCTTCAAATAAAGCTACCAGATTAATATTATTGTGGTCAAAGGCGATTGGTGCAAACCCAACATTAAAATTTCAACCCTAAACCCCCTAAGGTGAATGGCATTTTTTCTTCAAATGTCAAGTCAATGAAGACTCTGACCTCTGTACGATATAATATTTGAATGCTACTGATGAGAATATGGAAAATCGTACCAGCTTATGGTTTTCAAAGAAATGATTTAAAAAAAAAACAGTCAAATCAAATCATAAGGCTTGTATAATCTACTATGGTATTAGGCATAACCCTAAACTTAACGTTGCTTTGCAGCTCTTTGTCCACCATGGATGTTGATTGGATCAATGAAAAAAAGCTTTACCCGTATATCTCTGGCAAAAATAGTGTTCATGGTACAGTCTGCCATGATGAGCTTTACTACGACTTAAAAGAAGCATAGTGCCAAAATGCCAGTGACGGTAGACAATTTTATCGACCAGCCCCCACACTGTTGTCTTTAAATTAATGCTTGATACAAGCATTTTATTTGCACAGAAACCCTGATTATAAACCTCTATAATTTCTTCTTGGAAAGCACTAGACAGGCCTTCCCTGTTTTGTAAATCCATCCTAAATTGTTTTGTGTAGTTGCCATCTTTATTTATTTTTTTTAACCAAGGAAGAGCTGGAGCTTAGTATTCCATAATATATATCGTGAGGTTTTCCTTCATTAATCCAATCAGCAATCAAACGTTGAATCAAAGCCCATTTAAATATTGGATTATTCATTTCATGAAAGGATTATTGAGCCAATGAAAGGAATCAATTTTCCATTAACCAATTCATTGCTTTATTAACGATGAAAATGCTTGGCCAGCTTGGACGGACTGTAAACCCTTAAAATACACACACTGAAAAACACGTAAAAATCAAATGCTATGGAATGAGTTTGTGCAATCTTGATCCCAGGCAAGTTAGGGAAGGTGTCATTCGCCTTTGTTAAATCAACAGGGAAGCCAGATGGCGATCAAGTCCCAAGATATGTTCAAATAACGATGGTTGTCCCATACAATCTCACTACAATTTTTACTTGGAGAGCATTCTCCTACAATCAATACAACAAAAGATTGTGCATAGCGAGAGTGCTCTGCAGAGTCTTTGCTTGTACTTGTCTTTGATTTTGCTGGCTTTCACAAAAACTCTCTCCAACTAAGTCAGAGAGCAAGGAAAATCTGTTTTAGAGCTTGCAACTGCAATCTGGTTGGCTAGGCCTGAGCTAAATTCTTGGCTAGAGCGACACTGAAGTCTTATTTTGAGCACCAAACATGGTGCACGAATCTTTACACAAAAAGATGCAATAATTCAAGTTGCCACTGTTAGATGCAGGCACTCATTAATACTCACTCATTAAGCAGCAGTTTAAAAAAAAGTTTAAAACTGAATAAGCAAAATTAATATGCATGGATATCATGAAAGCCAGCGCTTTTTACCACATCTGTACCCTTGAAATTGGGTTTACAGGTCACCTACAGATGTATGAGAAAACCTTGATCACCTTGTCATGAAAACTGCACGATAGAAATTTCTAAATTATTATTATTATTATCACTTCCAGGGTGTCAATAATCTTCAAATAATTATTTTCATACTTCCTTGAATAACAAGACAATGGGAATCTGTATTTAAATACTGGGAATAAAATTTTCTTGTTTCTTAACTCACTAACAGTAGAGCTTGTAGAAGTGTTATGTTTGTCGGTTTTGATGATAAAATTGTAGTACAGTCAACTCCCGGTAACTCAAACCCTCTACAACTCAAACCTCCCACTAACTCAAAGCAATTTTCTTTTCCCTTCAGACCGTTTTCTTGTCGGGCACTATTGGACGGGACTTTTTTCGAGCCCGGCATATGTTTGCAAAGTGGGTAAGAACGAGTCCACAGAGGTTAAAGAGGCGGTGAAAATTCTTTAAACTTTGACTTTGTGATAAACTTGTTCAAACTCTTACACAATGACCTACAATAACCAAAACTGAATCGTGCGTGCATTCTCAGGAAGAAAACAGAAGAAGTTGAAGTGAATCTTAAGTACAAAATAGAGCCGCTGCCCTACACGGGAAACACATGTTTGTTCTAAAGGATTATATATAAACTTCCTTGAGCATTTTAATCCTTTCACTGCCAGAATGCTCGATGGAGTTTTGTATGGTGACTCTAACTTTTGAGTCTGCGGACGAAATTCTATGATGTCACCATTTAAATGAAAGCTCTCCTCCTGTACTTACACGGTGCTATTTGTTTTTCCAAATTTCACAAAATGAAATTTGGACATTTGGTTGGCAGCGGGAGGGTTAAGATAAGGCAAAGGAGCTTAAAATACCATATACGAGTCAGATTGCTCAAAGGAGAAAGCCTTTTGACAGTAATGGACCATCGTGGCACTTGTTAGCACTCAGTTTTTTCAAAGATCCCACAACTTTGCTTGGGACTGGAAGTGAACATGTGAAGCAATTTTATGAAAGGCATATGAAGAATAATGACACAAAGTCACAAAGTGTTGTAACGATGTGAAATATAATAGTTTTTTTTGTAGCATTGTTTAAAAATACCAGCACGTGATATTTTCTTATTAAAAAAAGGTCGTTTATCTCTTATGACACCATGATTCCCAACTTACCCTTTAAATCAGCTAATCAAGAGTCACAGTGACTACCTTTTCAGATAATATGAAGTTGCAAACAGTAAGCAAAGTTGAAACAAGACCAATAATGCCATACCAAAACCATTTCAAGTTCCCAAAAAAATGGCTCGTAGAAAGATGAGGGTGTGCAAGCACTTCCTTTCATGCTGACCACATGATGAGAAAATGCTAATTTTATGATGAAAGAATATCATCCTGCTGATAATTATTTGGGCTGTTAGCCAGAGACCTGACCTCATAGAAGCACGCACACATAAATTTTCAATCTATATACCTTACTTTTTAGTGCAGAGACAACTAATAAATTAATGGTTTATGCACTTCACACTTATAGTTTTGTTTGTTTGCACGCTCAACGCGACAGTAGTAATATACCAAGCATGAGACGCAGTGCTTTATCACCAGATCAAACACCGAGAAGGGAGTTGAAAATACAAAGTGCAGTGGAGTTTTTTTTGACTAACTTCGAAGTGTTTAAACACTGTGTCGAATGCTTGATGTTACTTCTAAAACAAAATGATTTTAGAAGGAGAAATTAAGGATTAAAAAATGAGCAGTTTTCTATCTGATTTCCAAATATTCATTAAAAATTAATTTCATTGTATTTTCTTTATGAATAATTTATTGATGAGTTTGAGAAGAGCACGTGATAACATGGAATAGCTCTTACTGGTCGTTCATCCGTCTTGCACGTACATGTTACAGGTCAAATTCGATTTCAGGGTAAATTTTTTTAACCAGGGTTGATTCTCAATTTCCTTCATCTCCTAGCCATAATTATTCATGAATTAGGGCTAGGAAAGAAGGGAAGGTGAGAATCAACCTAGGTTAAATCAAAATTAATCTGAAATCAAATTTGACCCACAACATACACATGCCAATTAAACCACGGTACATGGTAACTGGCTAAAAAACCGGCTACTTGGAGGTTTGAGCAGTCTACTTTTTGCGGAAATAGGGTAAAGTGAGAGGGTGGAAATTGCCTACAGCACTCAATTGGCAAGCCGCCTACTTTCACATCCTAGCTGTCTACTTTAAAACTTAATGAGTGAGAACCCTGACAGTACCTGTTGCTATAAAAGAAGACAAAATCAAAGAATCTATCTCCTTTACAACAGGCTTAGCACTGCAGATCAATGATGGAAAAAAGTACTTTAGCCTTACAACAAACCAGCTGGGGAGAAATACCTAGATCTTTACTGCAACACAGGTTATTAAGCTCATTAATAATTCATGAAAAACACGGAAATGCTAGGGTGAAGGACTGGTTTGGATATCAGATCTTCGTCAAGAATGTTCTGCCAGCTTTATAGCTTTCAATTTTGTCAAGAATTATTCTTTCTTTAAAAAGCTAGATCACACATAGGCTTCAGTGTTTCGTGAGAAGTCCAGACACTTTCAAGTGGGTTAAAAAAAATCCTCCATGCACAGCAACTTGCTTGCTGACTTTTTAAGTCACTTCCAGGTGTCTATGGAACACAGGAAGAAACACTGTCTCGTGGCCAAAACAGGTTTACTTTGCAAAAATTTATTTAGCCACATTTTTATGGTTTCATCTTATCAAAGCTATCACACAGATGTCTACTTTTCTATGAACATGTCTGTCCCATCTTATTAAGGTAAAAAAAAAAGGGAACTGAGGGCAAAGGGCCTGCGAATTCAGACACGTTCATGGCAGATTAAAATGAAAAAAAAAAAAGCAAAACAAAAAACAATCAAGCAAGCAAAAATCTAGGGTATTGCTCATACCTTTTGAATGGCAATTGCCCGAAAAATAAGCACCCAAAATGAAAACACCACTGAAAATTTTAGCAGATCTTAAGTGAAACAAAAAAGTTGTTGAATGTACATGCGCAGGATAACCGGAAGATAGCACATATCTTTTTTGTAAGGCTTTACTGTTCCGAGCCGGTCTTAACTTTAACTAGAATTTTCCTTCCTCCTAAATTATCCGAAAATTGTTTTGCAAAATTTGCCACAAACTGTGCATGGCCCTTGATTCCAGCTGACCCCCTTTGCAAGCAATATTTTCGCTTCTTTGATCTTATTTCAACAGAGAAAGTTCAAGTGCACGCAATTTGCTTCCTTTTTACAGCCTTATTTTATGTTCATAGTTGCTCTTGAAAACCTGCCAAAAAAACACTTGCTTTTTGACGCTCTGCAAATAATCAAATTGTTTGTCAAAGAAAGGCTAATAACGAAATAGCTTGAAAAAAAAAACGATGGAAATCAAGGCTGCTCTGTTCTAGCAGTGTCATCTGTTTTTTTCAAAAGATAATAGAAAACCGGGTCACGTATCTTGCTAAAAGCGAAAGTCAAAACAAGTTGGGCTTATAAGATTATTGTTTCCCTTCAAAATTCCATTTCCGAGTGTTTGCATTCCCTTCTCAATTCAAATCTCTATTTCTGATTTCGACAGGGAAACCAAATTGCAGCTCCGTCTAAGTTGTTTTCTGTGTAGATGATTCATCGACAAAGGAAATTAAAAAGCGACCGCGATGGATGATCTCACAAGCAGTTGTGACCTTTTGAAACTTGAGTGACCACGTATTATCGTCAGCGACACAAAAGAGATTTCACCATGGAAAACAAAAGCGAATTTTATTAGTAATTGCTAAAATTCAAACAAAACTGACTCGCATCGCTGGGCAAACCCAAAGAAAAGGTAATTACGTGATTTAAGTGTTTAATAATGCGGCACAGCCCCGATATCAAGCTTCCTTTCAAGACAAAGAACTATCAATTACATAGTTTATGAAACAAAAATTTCCCGAAATCTAAACAACAGATTGCAGCTGAACAATAACAGTTACATGTACAGACGTATTGTTCTATCAGAAAAACAGAATGAACAGCTTAATGAAAAATTAAATGAGGCTGTGGTTTATGGTGACACCTCAGGGGACACGAAACTCGATGGCGCAGTTGTATGCAAGCTCCATCTTGTTATTCAACAGCCAATTTGCTTTCGAACATGCTGATAATTTTTCATTTCAAAACGGCAGCCTAGGAGATAAAGCGGTTATTAAAAAAAGACATTGTCGAACGGTTGTAGTACTGCCTTTCTAGGAGATTTCTCTTCTGTGCTGAAAATGATTTCTTCACCGTGGTGAGGTGGTCGAGAATCATAATACAACAACAGCTCCAACTACTTTACAACACCGTGACTGATCAAGTTTTTTTCGAGGGTTATTAAAACGCCTTGTCTCCATCAGATAAAATCTTTCTTTGATTATTACTTTTCGAGTACAACAAAATGACTTACCTTCGGTTTTTCTGCAAAAGACTAGTGACCTCTGTGCAAATTGATACAGCGCCTTTAAAGCCTGGACGTTTTCTTGTTGCATTGAGGACGATCTCGACAGCTTTTTTGGCGATTACTCTGTCTTCGTAGCTTTCAAACGCTCGTTCTGGCAAAAGAAAAGAATTGTAGGCCTGAATGTACAATTTACGCACCATTTTGCGACGGAAATCAGATAAAAACCTCATGAAGCCACAAGAATGCACGACGAACTATTTAATAGCTTACCCAAACTTTCTAGATCGCTTGGAAGCTTGTCGAAAGAGGCACAAGCCTCAGAGTTTGAGGAACTTCCGTTCGCATCTTCGCTAGTTCTATGGTGCATCCTTCGACGACCATCATGATAACCGGAGCTACCACTACTGCCATTGCTCGATGCGTCCGCCATGTTATTATCTGCTCACTAAGCGTAAATTCTTTCATAGAACGTGACTTCCAGAACGCATCTCTTATGGGACGACTTTTCACTCATTTAAGCAACCGTTAAGTTTTGTCAGCATCTAAAACACCTCCTGGCAAGAAACACAAAGAGCTGGTTAATGAACTAGCGCTGTAAAGCGGTGATCGGGGGCTAAATAAACTACTGTAGCAAAAAAAATTTACCCAGGACATATGAGCACACGTGACGAATGCGCGAAGCGCAGAAAGTTCTGAACTGTTCAACGTTGAACTGACAAGCTCATATTACGGGAGCGTTTTTTGAGCCCGCGATACAATTATCATACTCGCATGGACAAGGATTCAAGATGGCAGGTAAGATTATATCAAAAATCTTACATTATATCAGCGTTATTTCACCTCCAGTCGACTATCAGGCTAGTTCAAGGTTGACCCAATGAGTTGTTACTTGAAAGGAGTCCGACATATTGCCTCTGTGTTTCGTATCCGCGCCGAGAGCAAGCATGTTTTGTACCGGGACGTTAGCCGGCGGCATTATGGTCTAAGTTGAATTTCTCGGCAATTTCTCTTTTCAATCCAAAACGTGCCCAGTATTTGAAAGTATATAACATTGCTAAATGTCATCCAGGACCTAGTTAACAAGGTAAACTGCCAGCACCTCTTATTTGTGCCGTGGAGTCCTTCATAAGCTTGTATAAACTAAGCTTAAGTTTATATTTGTAGCGCATACTCGCTTGGAAGGTGTTTGAAATTAAAGAGTTATACGCTGTAGGCTTAGCCCATAAACGCCAGAAAACATATTATGTAAGCTTGCACACTTTCAGACTCGAACTTTTGTGATGTTTGCAGCTTGTAGCATGAGCTAGAAGAGCTGGCCTGGTGTGCATACTTTTGAAAACAACCGGTTTTAAAGAAATTTTAGCAAACAAATTTTTGAAGGAACCTCCTCTGCGACCATTTGATGCTATGCAAAAAAAAAAAAGAAAACCTCTGTATTTCCATGAAATAAGTTAGGAAAGTGCACAGCTGGTCGTCTTCTTTAATTTAAAATTACTGTAGCCTTTTTGATGCATATTGCAATATATATTATTGTAAAAGTACTTAAACATGAATGCAAAAAGTAGGGGGAGTTGACTCTCCTGAACCAGGTATTGTCTTGTCCTTTTGGTTAGAAACCCATGGCAAAAATGTTATTTTTATTGTGATTTAAAACAATGCAAAATTGGAACTGAAGTCTCAAAGGCAAGAAGTGAACATTTTTAAAAATGAAAATGTACAAGGGATGTGTAACTGTAACTTGTTTACCATGTAAAAACCTAGGAGGTGTTATGAGCTTATTTATATGTGTTAATAACCTAGGAGGTGTTATGAGCTTATTTATATGTGTTAATGCAAATCCACATTGCATTAGAAAAAATTTTTAAGGTTAGGGGAAAACTAAAGTAACTGGGGAAAAACCTTTCGCAGCAAACCATCAACAAATTAAACTACACCCATGGTGTCACATATGAGGCCCTGTGCAAGATTTCTTTAAGATTTCCTGTTTCCAAAATCTTTATAAAATGTTAGTTTTTGTGATGGGCAACGCCTGTTTACTCGCATGTAACCCGTGATCTTGCATTCTTTTTTTTTTTTTCTTTTTTTTTTTTTTTTTTTTTTTTTTTTTTTTTTTGTCGGGAAGCATAACTGAAATCAAGCTCAGAAAGTACAAGGGGTTTAAATTCCCTCAGGCTTGTCATTTTGCTTTCCTGCTTAGACCTCTCTATGTTTTTTTTTTTCACATTAAAGATACATGTACGTGTCATCAGAGGGCTTAATAATCCTCCAGTTATTCTAAGCAGTAAATAAGAACAAGCTGTTGGAGTTTACCCTCCCATTTTACGGCTAATAATTTTTCATTAAGGTGTAATATTCCATTACTTTTTTGCAAAAACCTGTAACTAGTGTGACCATTCAAATGTAATCTTTTTGGCATTACTTTCACATGGTCTTGTTCTTTGTGCAGTATTCAACTAAGTAGAAATTGGATATTATTTTTATGAGAAAAGCACTCTTGGGAGTTTGATTAAGGGTTCCATGACAATCCTATGTTATGGCATATGCAGTACCAGATTAAGAGATTCATTGACCTTTTCCTTGTTTTCCTTGGTTGGGTAAGCTACATGGCTTGACAGAGTATACTACTACTACCACTATTTCCACTACTACCACAATTATCTTTGAACAATATCAATACAAAATTGAGAGAAAAGGGAATCAGAATCAATTAACTTGATCACCAGCAGAGGCTGGGAGAAATGCTGTGATCTTTAATCAGTTTCTCTCCACTAATTCTCCAAGCAAATGTTGGAGATCAGTCGTGAGAATCTGTATGAGGATAATGGGGCTTAAGGGGGTTAAGTTTTTGTAACACAACACCAAGTTAAAACAATGATAATATTGTTTTAACTTGGGGGTGTGTTTTTAGACTTGGCTTCATGTTGGGGGAGCCGAGTTATTCAGCAATTAATGCGTACGTGATTCAACTGAGGTGTAATTTTATACTCAGCCTTGTGCTTGCGGAAATTTAATCCAGTCAGTTATGCTTACTGCACTCAGCCATTAGTAATGAGTAAGTCAAGTGTACTTCAAAGTTTCAGAATACTAATATGACTGATGCGATTACAACCCACAGGGAAACTTATGCACACTATTGAAATTTCTCTGAAATGTGATGTTGAAATGTTATTGGTTGTTATGCTATAAAATAATGGTTTCATTGAACGTCAATAATGACTGCAGAGACCTCTAGTTAATACTACAATACTAAACTGCAAAAGCATTTCTTTTTAGTTTGTAATAACTAGGGTAATTTTTATTTTTAGATAATAATATGGTGGAGTTTTCCAGACTTGTTCCCCCAGGGGCTACCACAGTCTGCATTCTGAAGCTTACGTACCTGGCAAACTGCAATGTTATGGCCATGGCTAGCTAATAAAAATTTGAGATCAATTAAGGTTTCTAGGAAACTGCCCACCTACCCTTCCCCTAAGCTAACATTAGCACCTACTTCTCACTTAGGGCAAAATATTTACTCAGGGAAGGTTAGGTGGGCAGTTTTCCTGAAACCTAAATTGATCTATTTTGTTTATTTATATCTTCTAGATTCTGCTGCTTTGTCAAAAGCAGCTGCAAAGAATAAAAAAAGAGCAGAGAAAAGGAGAAAGGAAAGGATACAAAAGGTTAAGGAGAATGGTGGGAGGGTCTTGGAAGCTATGGAAATGAAGGATCCTGTTAGTATTCTTAGAGAACAGTTACAGGAGGCCAAGAATAATCAGGTAAGGTACAATTTAGGTTTCTGGGAAACTGCCTACCTACCCCTCCCTGAACCCAACATTTTGCCCCAATTGAGAAGTAAGTGTTAACGTTGGCTTAGGGGAGGGGTAGGTGATATGTTACCGTTCTTACAATAATCTACAACTTGATGTGACCAGTGTGCTCTCCCTTGGTGCTATTTCATTTCCTTGTCAGTGCTTGACAAAAAACTGAAAGTTTAAAAACTTTAGAGAGTGGAAATTTTGCTTGTACATGTAGTGAGATGTTAAATTCCCACTGAGAAAAAGACTTCAAGATTCTTCGTTTCAACCACGGTAAAATGAAATGATGAAAACAGTAGAGCAAGTGTTTCCAGTTGTTTTGCTTAGTTTTTAGTCTGGTTGTGTGACCAAGAAATGGCCCAAATCGTACTCTCTGACTACGGTATCTACACGTAGCTTGTGGTGTTTTTGACATGATATTTTCGTCAAAGAAGAGGAAGGAGGAGTGGATAGTGAGACTCTGAAAACTGGACTGTTGTTGCCTTTTAATCCGCCTTAATGTTTCTGGATCTCAGATAAAGTACTGTCTTTTGTGTTTTTTAAAAATTCTCAGATGACCAATAGTTTGTGACCGCATTTTGACCAGAAAATCTTGCAAACCTTTGAATGTCACACTAAAAGATTTCATCCACAGGCCCAAAAGTTAGAACATCCTGTACAGCATAATAAACAGTACCACAGGAAAGTACTGCTCAGTAGCTTTCATTTGAATGGTCACAACATAGGATTTCATCCGCAGACTCAAAAGTTAGAACCACCTTGTACAGCATAATAAACAGTACCACAGGAAAGTACTGTTCAGTAGCTTTCATTTGAATGGTTACACCATAGGATTTCACCCACAGACTCAAAAGTTAGAGCCACCTTTTAGCCTTGGATACTATCATGTCGACGTAAAATCTGGGTGTGGTCACATTTTAGTGGTGATATTTTGTGTTTGCTTTTATCGCTAAGACGCGCTTTAAGCAGTCGTCAAAAAAGCGGACTTTCATATTTTCAGAATTTAAAGACTTAAGTTTTCGAACGGACTTTTTACTGGGTTTTGTTTAGCGATAATTTCTCCCACAGAAGAAAAAAATCGCCTCTTCTCTTCCTCAATTTCTAGAACATAGAAATTGTCTTTTGGGTAGCACAATATTAAACGGCTTCACAGAGTATCTCCTTCGAAAGGCTTTTGACTAATTTTTGATTAAAAAAAAACAACTGTAAAGCCGGCCTCTTGTACAACTAACGTGACCTTGGTCCCACATGTTGTCGGGGAATTTAGCTCGCTTTGTTTTGAAAAGAATGTCATGTCCGTTATGGTACGAAACCAGAAACGTTTCTCTGGCGAATTTTACCGGTGGGAGTCAACGCGAAGCATCTGAACGCTGCTGAAAAAAATCCGCCGAAACGCAAGTCACTAGTTTAAGTTCGGAACTTGCTAGAACTTTTGGAAACGAGACAGAAAATTCGCTGGATGAGTCGAGGAGTCTACCTTTCAGTCCTATAGATAGTGTAATATTCAGCTTAAAGTAAAGAATCAAATTATATCAACTTTCACGTGATGTGTTACAGAGACTGTATTAAAGCGGCAATTTGGGGAGATCTTTTTTGACGGCAATGACAGGCGTTCGTTTAAGAAGCGAGAAGGGTTATTCGGTCGTAATGAGGGGCAGTTTAGTGACACTAATGCTTTTACTTACATAGAACCATGAGCTTGCCGCACGACTCCGTCAGCAATTGTGGATTGCTCAAGACAGCGCGGCCGGTGTGAGGTGAGTTCCTATATTAAAGGCAGGGAACGTGCAGCTATGCAGGTTTTAAAAAAAGTCACCCCAGAGCTGACAAGTCGGAGCACGTGATGTAAAATATATCCTATTGTATTCTAAGGCGTCCTGAAAAAATAAACAACGGCACTCTATTTCTGCACGTCCGGTCAGAACCTTTATCCGCTTAGAGTAATTTACGGCTTACTTAAACAGCGAAAAAAGCGAGACTTTCCCTCTCTGTGACGTTTTTAAAATTTCCATGTGACATCTTGCGAATTTTTTCCAGAAGGTTATTCTTGTGAACTTTCAGTGACTCTGCTTCCGACAGGGTTCCGAATGTTTTCCGCTTAATGGGCACTGGCCCGGGCGGGGGGCTGGGTCGGGGGGGTTCTCCCTATAATGTCTTACACTGGCAGGCTACAGGGGTTTTACTGGCTAAAGCATATGAAAGTGTCGGGAATCTGTCATTTCGCTCTGTTATGGCAAACGCCTTGTTGTTGTGAATTATTCATATTTTAAAGACAGGGCATTCACAGCAGATGAAAGGGGGTTCCAAGGTCAGAACTAGAGGTGTGAAAGGGGTACCTTTTGTGTCAAAAAGGCATCTTAAAGGGTAAGGAGTCGGACCTAGGGTCGGAGCCTCCCCGTGTAAAAAATTGTTGAGTTCCCCCCGGGACAGTTGTACCGATTAAAAGCTTTCGCTTCCTCGTTTCCCATACATATACTTCAGTTCTTTGTTATGTGTAAATCTATCCTATTATTATTAACGCAGCTGCCAACATGTCTATCTTATCTTTTTCTTCGTCTTTTTACGAAACGTGACACATTTAAGGTTCAGGGGCATCCAGCGACATTTTATGACCAAGATGTTACGATTATTTTCAATAAAAGGTCTCCTGAAAGTTTCATTGTAAAGACAAAACGTCCCCCAGAATCTTCTAATGAAACTACGGCTACTCAATGTCATCGATCTTTCGACCGGAGTCATCTTGGCGAGAAAGCCCCGTAAAGCTAAGACATCCCAACAGATAAATCAGTTTTAAGGGCAGCTCCAAATTAACCAAACAGGTTTCTAAAGCGTAGAGAAAACCATTTGAGACATTTCCGTCGTATTTGAAAACACTCGGTCATGGGGTGTTCGAATCTGAATGTTTAACTTTCTGCAGCTTTGATCCAAAGAGTCAGCAAGATTTCAAGCAATAATGCGTTCCCTATTATACCCCCACTTATTTTAAGGGTTTTGTCAACTTTCCTGGACTTTAAAACCACACTGAACAGCGTAGCAAACAGTGCTAAATAGAAATAATGAGTATTATACTAGCGCCGTTGATTGCAAATGGTTACACTTGGAGATGTGTCTCGAATTTTAACAAAATTCTAGCCCTAGGAACTGCCACCGAATTGAGTGCAACATAAAAGTAACCGCTCAAAACATTAAAAGAAGATGTAAAATCACATAGCAAATACAAACAGAGACACGGATTGACAAACTTGAAGAAGATTAAAACGCATTGAAATTGTGGGTTTTGAAAAGAACTTGTTAGACTAAACAGTTTTTCAAAGTTCATTTTTGTTGCTTGTAACGTTTTTCCTGGTTTGATATGATGCTTCAGTTAGAAAGTATATTTTTAGGACAAGAAGCTGTGATTTAGTCGTCTATAAGTAATATCTTCGTCAACATCAATTGGCAGATCTCGTTGTAGTAAAGGCCAACTGCGTTCTTCATATTTTTTATTCAAAGAATGGAACGAGAATCCTCTTAAAGTCAGAAACAGTGAAGGTATTCGCAGTTGTAGAAACGCTGTGTTGCATCTTTTAGCTTAATTTTGATAGGAACAATGAGACTTTGTACTTTTTATTATCTATTTTACGTGCTTAGTGTTTTTTTTTTGTTTAGTATACTTTTAATTAGGGACAGGTCTCGTCTGAAAACCACCCGTGAGTGATGGCGACTTCCTGTGTAAAGATTTTAATTATTATTATTATATTATTATTATCATTATTATTAACATTAAGTTCCATAAAGCCCTGACACGTCCCCTTTACGAATTCATCTTGCATAGTAACAGGGAACTAGTTAGTGTTCTCTTTCAATTCATTCACACTAAGGTAAATTACTGTTAATTTTTGCTGCGTCTACGGAAATATATAGCTCGAGCCACTTTAAGGCTTAACGAAGTGCTTTAAGGCCGAATACAATTTGCCATAGACAGGAGCGTAGCTTCCATATGCGCACATACGCCCGTGCGTCTAACTGAAATGTAGAAAAATCGATGTTTTTATTTCCTGAAAGCATTTTTGTCTTTGACTCGGTATGCTTAATAAATCTTTCGCATAAAAATGGTGTCTTTGCCCTTCTGAAGGGTACACATCTCGCCCTTTGCTTGTAACCTACTTACTTGATGGCGTCACTGTTGTACCCTTTTTTCCGTACTGTATCTTACCGAAAACGCTAGAGATGTAAAATAAACAACGAAATATTGTATTTTCCTTCATTTTATTCACTGAAAACTTCCTGCGGAAAAAAGCAGGAAATGGCATTTCTGAGCCCCTAAATTTGAAAAATTTCCTCAGAACCCCCTAGTTTGGAGTACCTTCCGCGGTGTAACCTTTCTTTCCGTGTGTTCATCTTAAAAATCTCCCGCTACGCCCCTGATAGAGCATTATAGCCCAAAAGACGTGATCTACTTGCTTTCACTCTTATCTGTGTATCGAAAAGGGAACTGTTAACATTTCAGTCTTTTTGCCGGCGATTATTACATTTTGCGGCGTAACAGCGCCCCAAAAAAAAGTACTGTTCAGTGGACTTCGGTTGAGTCGTCTCACCTTTAGTCGGACCGAACCACAGGAAGCAAAGTACTGCGTAAACTTTCGTTTCAATTTTTGAGTCCAATGCTCATATCATAGGATTTCATACACAGGGAAAACGTTAGAACAATTTTGTGTGGTATAATAAACAGTACCACAGGAAAGTACTGCTCAGCAGCTTCCATCAACTCACACTTACAAATTCCATCCACAGACTCGAAAGTTAGAACCACCTTATACAGCATGATAAACAGTACCACAAGAAAGTACTGCTCAGTAGCTTTCATTTGAATGGTCACACCATAGGATTTCATCCACAGACTCAAAAGTTAGAACCACCTTGTACAGTATAATAAACAGTACCACAGGAAAGTTCTGCTCAGTAGCTTTCATTTGAATGGTCACACCATAGGATTTCATCCACAGACTCAAAAGTTAGAATCACCTTGTACAGCATAATAAACAGTACCACAGGAAAGTACTGCTCAGTAGCTTTCATTTGAATGGTCACACCATAGGATTTCATCCACAGACTCAAACGCTAGAACCACCTTGTACAGCACAATAAACAGTTGAAACCACCTTGTCTAGCATAATTAACAGCTCAGACGGAAAAGCACATGCGAATTCATACCGAAACGTGACATAAACGTCATTAAGGTTAGAGAGGAAAGGTTAAACGCCACTACATTTTTGCCAAAAACTAAGAATTTTAGCTACTTGGATAAAGTTTTTCCGGTGAAGATTGGCTTAATTTCGATTATAAGCTACCGACTTCCGGAGATTTTCGTCCACGTGTTGTGGGGGCAAGACCACAGACGTTTGAACTTACTTATGTTACTTCAGCTTTATACCATATAGGCTGGGAGACTCCTACTCTCCAGTTTTATAACAGATAACGACTCTTTTTCGTTATATTTTTATGGTAGTGGTGACCAGTTACTTTTTGTTATCGCGTGATGTCTGTTTTCGGGAACATTCGAACCCACATTAACCTAAGCAGCATGTTTGAAAGTAACATATTGTCCGAGTGAAGCCTTTAACTGCTGTTAGATTAAAAATCAAAGCTATTTCAGTTCGAGCTTTGGCCGATCATCAAATGGTTTTTTGTGGTTTGCAGCCACAGACGAAACTACACCTCCTGTTTCTAGCCGGATTAACAAGTAACTGTTTAGCATTTTTTGGCAATTGGATTTTATATAAGACTCGCTGCAGAAGCTGAACTTCACAAGTGCCGATTTTAGGACTAATAAGCTAGAAAAAAGAGTTTGGTTTTTGATTAACGTTAGATTCAGCCTGTCTGAAGCTCAGTGCCTAAAACGTACTTTAACCCCTGTAAGCCCCAATAGTGACCAGTATCTAATTTCTCCTAAAAATATCACTGCCTGATCAAAAATACAGGTCATGAGAATGATTGAAATGATCGCCAAAGATGAGATGTTTTGACGTTTGAACAAATTCTCCCAAGCAGTACCATAAGAGATATGAGAGGACAGTGAGGAGAATACGCATGTTGATATTGGTGCTTAAAGGGTTAACATACATGATAATTTAGGACTTACAATTAACATCGAGCCCTAGGATGACACGGTAACTAAAAGTTTTCGGTACCGTGTTGTTACCGTGGTCTTAAAATAACGGAACAAAAAAATAGTTTCCCAGCGCCATTTTCAGCCTCAGGGATCCATTTACAGAAATTCTTTACTTTTCCACACAAATACTTAACTAGTAGGTCTATTCTTTACTAACGCGCGACTCATATACAAACCTAAAAAGTTTAGCATCTATCAGTTCCATCTTGAATCATTCCCAAAAAGCATTATGCATTACTGGTTTATGGCTTCCAGGGCCAAGAAAAAAAATATGACTTTGAGAAATTAGAATCACTTAGGTGATGGGTTCCCATGAAGTTTCTCGGAACTCAAAAATTGTTACTGATGGTTTTCCCTGTTCTCTGGGCAAGGAACCGAAAAATTGTTTTCCATGGAAATTTTCAGGCCGCCTCGAGTACAGGGAAAAGGTCACGTAAAGTATTGATGAATAACTCGTTTTCTTTTGACGGTCGCTCCTTACGGATTTTATTGTATAAACCAGTTTTATCAGGACTATATATTCAAGAATATTTCATCTGAGAACCTCAACGTAGCACAAAAAGTTTGTAGAAGTTGTGAAATGTGTTTAAAACGTGCGATTTATTGCTATTTTGATTCCGTGCCAGAAGTTTCATCATGCTGTGTGATACCATAGTTTCTAAACTCCATTGTCTTTGCGGACTCGTCTATAGTTGAAAGGTCGACGTTCAAATGGCGATTGTACGTGTATGGCGCATTCCTAGATGAACGTTTCTTTGTTGTCCTCAATCAACGTTTACAAGATCAATCTGCGGTCATATATCTGATTACTACACTAAGAGATTTCGTAAGTCGGTTAGTCCTTGACCTAAAGATAGAATTTCTGCCCGCGTAAAGAATACTTGTTGTCTATTTAAAGGTGCCGGTGGAATCTATTGATGAATGCCGGGTTTTTGAGAGTAAGCAAAGAAAAAAAAAAAGCAAGTATGTAAAGGTTTTTCGATGTTTATACTGGGGCACCCAGCGACTTTTTCCAGTAAAATAACTGTTCGAAGGAGCAAATACTGCCTAGAAATTTCTAAAGCTTGAGAAAAGCTAAACATTTCTGGATAACCGTTCCATTCGTCTAAAATATTTGAAGGTTTTCTAATGGCTTAACTACTATTTTCGGAGATTATGTTACGTTATGTTACCCACATTTTAATACCAAGATATTGCGATTATTGTTAAAAAAAGGGTCTCCTGAAAATTTCGGTATAAAGATAAAACGTCCTCTATAATTTTCTAATGAAAGCAAGGCTACTTCTTGTCCTCAAACTTTCGACTGGACCCATAAGGATAGCTAACACTTTCGGATGAGACGAAAAAGCCACCTAAGACTTTCGTGATAACCAAAGTTCCCCCTAGACATCCGAACAGATAAATGTTTTTAGGGCAACCCTAAATTAACCAAACAGGCTTCTAAAGCACAGAGAAAACCATTTGAGACACTTCTTCTTCAGGATTTGTTGAAATATCAATTAGACTCACTCATCTTCCCTGATAATGCATTCAATTCTCATGACCACTATGTTTTCTAAAGCACTGATATTATAAGGAGAAATCTCACGCTGATCTCTCTTAGGGCTTAAAGGGTCAACGAAGGGGAGAAAATGTGGCTCTGCCTGAATCCCGTCAAGCCCTTTAAAGTCGCCGAAACACGAACTTCTGGACTAGTCAATCTTGTTCTCTATCGTCAAGCTGGTTTTATCCGAGTACGAGCATACGTTTATTGATAAACCGATAGTCGTAACTGAGCCCGCTGTACCAGCGCATGGCTATTAGGTCTATATTCCAAACTGTACGTACGCCAAAATCGAGCAGAGTGAGAGAAACACGTTTTTACGCGCAGGAAATGCCTCGTTCAAAAGGATGTCGCGCCTCAATTGTCACCTGTGGCCGGATTTAAGGGTGGCGTGCCGCACGTGCCGACTGGTCACGTGAGGTGCATGTAAATTAGCTCAGCTCGCACGATTTCAGCAATGTTTATAACCGTTATGTTTGGTTTTTAGATCAGCTCCCGATTCTTCAAAAGATAATCACGTTTAACCAACGGTTAAGCAAAATTTTTAGCATAGGAAGGTTGAACGAGAGATTATCAAATTTGGCTTTTGACCGTTTTGTAAGCAATCGGCTGAGTTCACACAAAGTGAGCTCCGAAGGACTTATAACAGGGTTAATATAGTTGTGGATGAAAATTCCAATTCTTGATTAGCGCCAATCAGTCTTCTACGAACCGGTCCCAGGGTTAAAGGAGCTGTGTAAAGCTAAATTTAGCCTTTAGGAATTGGTCATGCACCATATTGAAAAAAAAAAAGTGGAGTAAACAGCCATAACAATAGCCCCCATATTTCCCGCTGTTAATACCTTGGAGTTTCGTTTTCATTCGCAACAGCACGACTAAGGTGTCTAAGACAATTTGCTAAATAACCATTGTCTTTGCGGTCGTGTTTAAGCATCCGAACATCGTTGAAAGGTCGACGTTCAAACAGAGCTTAACTCACCGTCTCCGATTGCTTAAAGAGCTTTCATCAATGAGACCTTGACCTTAAAAATGGAATTCCTACCCTCGTGAACAGAGGGGTTGTTGGCTATATATGGAGTAACATAGTCTGTTGAGTATTGATCCGCCTAGTGATAGTTCAAAGTTCAACGTTCAAACAGCGATTTTACTTGCACGGCGCATTCCAAGATGAAAGATTATTCTTTGTTCTCAATCAACGTAAACATGATTAACTCGCTGTCTCTGATTACTACTAGAGATTTCGTCAGTCTGACCTAGGCCTCGAAATGGTATTACAGCCCGCCTAAAAGAAAGCTTGTTATAGCAAAACATGTTCGTAGATTCTTTATATCGGAGAATGCCGGGTTTTAAGACTTAGCAAAGGGGAAAAAAACGCAAATGGAGCTGGGGTTTTGTGTAATGTTTGTAAGCCTTAGAAAGCTGAAAGTGAAGGGGGGGAAGACCTATGCAGCGAGTAATCACGTTTTTAAGCCCTTCGGTGAACCAAAAGAAAGTTATTGTATCTCGTGAGTTCGACGCGTCTCAAATGTCGCGTGCCGATTTAAAAGGTGCCACGCCTCACGTGCCGTTCTCTCACAAGAGGTGCTTGTAAATTAGCTTAGTGTAGTTCGCACGATTTCAGTAATGTACATACCTGTCATAATTCTAATTTTGCATATAGATCGGCTCCCATATCCTCTAAAGATACTCAAGTTTAACTAAGGGTAAAGCACAATTTAAGTATAGGAAGGTTGAATGAGAGCTTCAGTATAAAATTGTATGAAGCGTTTTAATACTCCGAGATCAGCTGATTTACCATAACACAAAGTGAGACTTTGACCTATAGCAGGAACAACTTACAGTCATGGATAAAAAGTTGAGTCCTTGATCAAACCCATTGAGCCTTACTAACCGAGACAAGGGTTTAAAGAAGCTGTGCAGGGCAATTCAGCCATTAGGAATTGGTCATGAACCATATTGAATGAAATAAATAAATAAATAAATAAATACAAACAGCAAAAACAAAAAAAGACAGGGATGGACAAAATTCTCAACTGGAAGTAATATTTTTCACAAACGTCAAGTTTCATAGCGGGAAAGAAAAGAGCCAAACAGCCCTAGTATTCACCATTTTTACTGCCATTAATGTTGTGGATTTTTTTTTTAAAGTCGACTTGAAACAGCACGATTAACGTGAAGGAAATTTACAAGTACACTATCAAGCACAATTCTACTGTAATACGCAGTACACAACTTTCCGATTTTCCACGTCAGTTTTATCTGCATACAAAGATCGACTAGTATTTTCTAATGTACTTTCCTAGTTGTGAATATTTGACAGGTACTTCAAAGTGAGCCTAAAATTTACTGCACCTTTCTCCATTGTTGTAATGTTGTTATAGTATTATCGATTCATTGCCCACACAAACGCCTCAGACGCGGTTTCGCTGATTTAGCAGAGTCGAAATGATTGCTGATTCTCCTCGGGGCGTAGAATATCGGTCTCTGAAACTTTATGAGATTTTAATTCCGACTGCATCGAAGAACCACTCCAGGCCTTTCTCCCCCCTTCTTGTAACCTGATAAATCCTACATCTTAATTTCATCACGAGACAATTTTTATTACATGAGGGGAAGCGCTCTCCAGATTACCGAGGTTTATCTAACCAAAATAGTGAATAATCTTTAACTCACTTTCGCTCACAAGTTCATATAATTCTGAAGAAAAGTCATGTTGCTCTTGTTGTAACTTTTGAGTCATGTGGCGGTGTGACCATTCACATGAAACATCCGGCGATACCTTCGCATGGTACCATTTGTTTTTCTCCTTCATACGAACTTACATCCTAGTTATTTATCTTCATTATGGCCACAATTGCAAGAAACGGGTGAAAATTAACCTCCTCGAACCTCTACTATTCTTAATTGTTACCCCTGTCGTATGACTCGAGGTTTGTCTCCAACTAGTAGAGAGTTAAACCCGGGCTGCTTAGAGCTTGACTTTTTACAAACGCTTTTCCTTGATCCATAACTACTTTAAATTATCCCTTACATTAACATAAATATATTTGTGTATGGTCTACGATGAATATTCTGCTAAAAAAAAAAAAAACTATCAAAGACTTCAAAAACACCTACCTTCCCAGCTTGTTTGCAACGAGAACTCAATAAGAATTTAATAGCTTGTTTTTTTTCGTCTTTGAAAATTCCCAGACTGATTGACGCGATTCAAAATATGTTGTTTTTGACGAGTGAACTATTCATGGAATGCTGTTTGCATGAAAGTTGTTTTTTTGTGAGTTTTTCTGTTATCAGAACTATTTTTCGACGTCGGGCCTCGTTCAAACCGCACTACATCTCTTTTGTCTAGATTTATATCAACTCCGAAGTGAAACAAACGATGTTTGTCTCAGCGACGGACGTTTACGACTGAGTCTGAAATGGAATCACCGCTCTAAAGAGGGTGTAGTCCTCCGTCTAAGCTTTAGTTACAAGCGAAGATTTTCCATCGTGATGAGTTGATGTGGGAAATGCCACCTCAAATCTTAACACAGTCATCTACGCCGGGAGGGTGTTTATCCCAAATGCATCGCTATCCTTTTCAAAGTGAGTAATTTTTATAAAATTGTATAATACCACTCCAAGTAGCCAACACCGCGTTCTTATTGTTGCATTCCTCTTCGGCAGTCAGGGATTTATTGTATCCCAAATGCATTGCAACGCTTTACAATGTGTGATTTTATAAAATTGTAGTCTAATTTATATCACCACCGTGCGCTTGTAACCCAGAGTTTGTGTTTTGTCATCGTAGTATTAGTATAGGTCTGCGAATATTGAGGCAAATCGGGTGAGAGGCCTGTTTGATTAAAATAAAGTTGTCTTGACTTGGCTTGGCTTGGCTTAATTTGGTTTTCCGAAACGCAGGTTTTAACGTTAGCCTTAGCTAACCCCTATAAAGTATGAAATACGCCCGGACAGTTTGCATATCATTGTATTCATCTTCGACAGAGAGGGGTTGTATCTCGAATGCATCACTACGCTTTTCTATGTGACTGATTATTATGAACTTGTGGTCTAAGTTATCACCACCTTGTGTGTAAGCCAGAATTAGTTTATTGTAATCGTAATGTATATCAGCGCATACTATATTTCTAGTAATGAGGCGAATCAAGGGAGAAGAAACCTGCGCGTTTGACTTTTGTAAACGCAGGTTCTAACTTTGTTGTTAGTTTAACTCTTCTAAATTATGGAGAAATGTACATAAATACTTCAGTTCTAGCACTATTGAGTCTGTGGATGAAATCCTATGGTGTGATCGTTCAAATGAAAGCTACTGAAATGTTGCTGAGCGGTACTTTTCTGTGGTACTGTTTATTATGCTGCACAAGGTGGCTATAACGTTCGTGTCTGTGGATAAAGCCTATGGTGTGACCATCAGCAAAAAGTGATAAGCCCTACGTTTCTGTGGAACTATTTATATTTCATAATTTGTTAATTCGACGGTGACATTTTAATTCAAATTTAATTGTAAACACCTGCTGGAGTGAAGGGGTTAAAATGAACGACATCCCTGCTGATCGTCTATGTTGTAAACAAGAGTCTTTTCCTTTTAAAAAGACTAATTAGCGATGGACTACTCATGTAGATGTATTAATAAACTACAACGAAGCAACAAGTACAATTAAAATTTGTAATTTTTTGGTTGCATGATAAGAGGAGACACTTTTCAAGAATTAGAGTGTGATTTGTATGACCACTTCCGTTTTTGCCAACCTGTGTTGTTGTTTTTTGTTAACTAATAGCTCTGTTTTTCTCAGTTATGATTGTGTCCCATTACAATGTAGCAGTGTATTTTTTGTTATAAACAAGTGATTAATTTTCCAGCCATCTGATTGGATAAAACATCTCACGTGCCGTCAAATCTTCAGCTTGAGTGTAGTGAAAGAATGACAAACATTTGACAAAGTTGAGGAATCAGGAAAAGTATTTTAATGCTACGGGTTGTCATTCAGTTTTCACTGTTCAAAGTTTTCATGCCTGTTGAGTATCTCGCTAATTTACTGAATCGTTTGGAACTTTGCTCAACAGTTCAGACTGTTTGAGAACATGGAAATGTGGGCTTGTCAATGCCGTTTTGTTAATACAGTTCATGTGGATGTCATGCATTATACCTATTATGAAAGTAGTTTAGTTGTGAAAAGTGAAAGTAAGTAAATATGTACTCCGAGCAATTTCATATACTCTTGTTCTTGTTATTCTTGGTCGTGAATGAAATAGAATGAAATCTCATGAAATAAAAATGGCAACGAAGCGATTTAACATTTCTTCGTAAACAAAAATTGCTCCTTTTCGACTAATTTTGATCAGTAGATCATGCAATGTCGATGTGGAAACAGAACGTTCAGCATGTTGAACTCTGTGTGCTGAAACAAAGGGGGTCAGTCTCTGTTTAGTTAAACAAGTTACAACTAATTCTTTGAAACTTTTGAATGTGCTGTTAAAGCCACGCATGATTGAAGCATTTCAGTGGCTGTTTAACTCGTTTAACAGAGTGTCATAGCATGTCGAGTTTTCAATATGTGAACTCTGTCGAGCGAAAATGGGGGCATGCTATATAATGTTCAGCAACTTGCAGTGTGGCTCGTCCTTGCATTTATATCGCACCGACCAAGTTGTGGGTTCTGATACTTGTGTAATTTATAAGGCGGATGAAGCGAAATTCAACTTTCATCTGAAACACGTATACGTTTAATAACAAAAGTCGTGACCTTGTTGAAGTTTATTTCCGCCGTCGTCCTGTTGCCCCTTTCTCGAAACTCTCTGTAACATTTCAGGACCAAAATCCAATATTCAAATCAAAATATAGCAACAAAAGGGCTGGTCCTAGCCAGCAAACAGAAAAAGAAAGTTGTTGTCTTGTTTTCCCGTCCTCGACAAAACGTGAAATTAGGCACTCTCACGTTGTAGTCGTGCAGCGACGGCTAAGAAATGTACAAAAAAGCGTGATGAACGTACAAAGTTGTTGTTTTGCCAATCTAAACCTATTGCCTTTTTTTTCCGTTCTCGTTGCCGTCTGCGTCGCCGTTGCTTAAGCACCCTGATACCAACAGCATTTCGGGGCTCTGTAAATATCAGATACTTCGAGAAACGCGCCCCTTGTTCTACGGACGGCTGCAATTTGTAGAATCACCGGATGTGGTAACCCCTACACATGTGTCCGATCAACAAGCGGAATCGCTCGACGTAATTTTCTAAGAAAAATGTGCAAGGTTCAATGTTTTTTCGCCAAGTGTTGTAACTTTTATTTAACTAGATTTGAACAGTGAGTTTTTCGCCTTTGAGGATTTATTGGCGCTGTCAAGAGTATCGCAACTGGGCAATGCTGCATGCTGCTCAGAAACCTTGGTTTTGCTTAATTAGTATTTTATCATTTACACACTCAAAAGGTAGAACCACACTAAAGTACTGCACAGTAGCTTTCTTTGAATGGTCACACCACTGAATTTCATCCACAGACTCAAAAGTTAGAAACACCTTATACAGCATAATAAACAGTACCACAGGAAAGTACTTCTCGGTAGCTTTCATTTGAATGGTTACACCTTAGGATTTCATCCACAGACTCTAAATGGCAGTGTACAAAGTGCTGCTTCTCATCACCGTCTTTTTAACTCTAGACTGTGACAGCATTTCGTTTTAGCGGCTGATTCCCCACATGTAGAGATATTATTTGTTCTGTCCATATAGCCTTTTTGTTTACTTGCTTTTTATCTTAAAGGGGCTGTGTCACGGCAGTCCAGTTCATTTTGTTTAATTTTTCCAATTACTGGCCCTCAATCTCTATGGAACTTAAAGTAAGCGAAGAAATTACATGTAAATGACAAAATCAGAGATCCGAGACAAACAAATATGTCTCCTAAGCGTCATTTTTGAAGTTGCAAGCAGCAGGGACCAACTTAGCAAAACTGTTAGGCTGAACAGTTCAGTTTCAAAAACCCTAATTTCAATCGTTTCAGTCTTCTTCAGTTTTGCCCATCCGTGGCATCTGCTGTTTCTGTTATGTTGTTTTAACCTTCCTTTAAAGTTTTAAGCGGTTATTTTTATGTTTCTCTTAATTTAACGGGCATTTTGTAATTTCCTAATTTGGCTGAATTTCGTGACACAGCTCGTTTAAATTAGGGTGGATTTCAAGTGTCGTAAATTTTTGCGTTCGTACGCACGGAACCCGTTTACGCCCGAAAAAAAAAAAGAGGCAATGTATGGAAGGTCGCGCGTACAGGTAAAAGTTGAACCTCGCTCAACCTTTACTTACACGCGGCCATTTAGACATTGCTTCTACTTTATATACGCGCGTAAAATTGTGTTTTTTTACAAATTGTTTTGGTGAGTCCTGGGACTCATCTTGTGAAAAATGATGAGTCCCAGTCCAGAACCAATGAGTCCCAGTCAAAAAAAAAAAGAGTCCGAAACTGAAAACGCTTGGGCCTTTATGTAACCAGACAGTCGATCTGAAGACAGACTCCAAAATTCTGTGTTACAGTATACTGAAATATAAATATAGTCCTTCTATTTTAAGCACAAGAAAGGCGAAACGCAATATGCATCGTTAAACAGCAGCCATAATAACTGCCACAGAAATTACACGAACGGGATATTTCTACAAATATACAAGTTCAGATCGATCGATCGATCTTTGCGTCCTACAGAACGCATGCTATGAATTATTTTGCGTCTCTGGGGATTTTTTCCTGCGTCAGGAACGCAGGCCGACGTAGAGGTAACAAAATCACCGGTATATAAAAATTGTAAAATTAACATTTTCTGGCAGAAGAAATAAATTGAAACTTCGATTGAAATTCAAAATTTAGAGCCACCTTGTATAGCAGAAAGAAACTACACCACAAATGGTCACAATTTGGGATTTCACCCCGAGACTAAAAAATTAGAACAACTATGTATTGCATAACAAAGAGCACGTCACAAGAAAAAAAAAGCAGTTTAAAAAAGCAGTGATTTGAACCTTTCGCTTAAGATTTTCGTCCACGAACTCAAAATTTAGGACCAGTATGTTTGACCTAATAATTACGTCAGGCAAACAGTACTGCTCAGTTTTCGCGGTTGAGGATGTCAACTCTGGAACCGCCGCCTTGTACAGCCTTTTTAAAAACATTACGAACAGAAAGTTCTGCTTATACATGACCGCACTTCCTATATCAATGAAGTATTAATGATAATTCGCTTGCATTGAATTTCAAAGTCAAAAAAGATTCAGAGGTAAAAGAGCTGAAGTTTTCTACATACCTCTGGTTTGCAGTAATTTTCCTTAAACGAAAATGCTTCTCTCTCCGTAGCAGATCGGGGACTGCGGATAATTCATGCGTACGTAGCTTTTTATTTGATGTTTGCCATCAGTCAATCAGTCACTCACTCTGATTCGCTTAAAGACGTGACTTTTGCATTTCACAGCTTGCGGTATCTATAGCTTACTGTCTCCCGTTTCCGCTCGTGGTTGATGACTACTTTGAGCGCTAGAGAGGGGAGGGTTGGGTTCGTCCTAAAGCTGTTTATTTGAGGGTACAGTCGCACATACCTCTATTGCTCTATAACACGGAGTCCTCCCTAAACCAGACAAATCACTTTATCGCAAAGATACGAAACGGTAAACAATCCTTACCACAAAAATTGACGCACTTGGCTCTGTCCCTTTGCGTTTTATTAAGGAGGATTGACTAAGTAGCTTGTTAAAGAAAGTACACAATCCTAAGCATGTTAACCAGTTTTCAGCCTTCTAAACAACCTTCTTAATCGCTGATGCTAGGATTAAAAATGGGAAAAATTAATACCAGTTTTCCCTTTGGGGCCTTCTAAACAACCTTCTTAATCGCTGAAACGGCTGACAATTTGCATCTTTACATCAAAACTTTGTCGCAGTTAGTTATAATCTTAACGTGACCTCTATTTACCACTATTGTTCCATAAGCGCAGAGTTATAATCTTAACGTGACCTCTATTTATTCCGGAAGGCACCGAAACAATCTATCTTTACCTTTTTATGCGTTTGTGATTGATACTAAAAACAAAGCCCTACCTGGTGGGTAAATGTTGACTTGATTCAGGTGCACCCAACGACGCTTTCCTCCTAAATACGTTGAAAAAACATTTTAGGCTAGCCAGAGGAGTTTTAGATCTCAAGAAATACATTCTAAGCCGCGCTATAAAATTGGATTCTGTTCGGTAATCCTAGGGAACTTCGAGTCTTTTCGAAATTACAAGGGCTTCAGAATTATTTTCCCGAAAATTTTAGATGCAATTTATCCTTTTACGAATGTGAAAATTTTTCTGATTCCTCTCTCAATCACACTTTTGAATCCGAAAATGTTAGGTTTCGTTTTTCTACGAAAAACAGTATTACTTGGGGAGTGAAATGTGACAACTTAAGCTTCAGAAAATCGTAGGGAATTTATGAGATGAGTTTCGAAAATTGTACGTGAATTGAATTGTTATCGAGAAATTTTTAGCCGTCCTCAAGTAACAGAAAATTCTAGGCAATATTTGCTTCTGGGTGCCCCTGTTTATTCGGGCTCGGGTGGATGGGCTGGGAGGGCGAGGGGGGGGGGGGGGGGGTGCTAGTAGAGGTACGATCGCACCCTTAGGGGTTCCGTTATGGTCGGAAAGATCATCCCTAGACATCGATCTCAAATTTTTATAGCTTTTAAAAGACCAGAATGGACCAGAAATATGCATCAAAACTGCTTCAAATTCGGCCTACGCGCGCATAGTCACTTTCTGTTATCATGGATAGCCCTTTGTCCGTGACAATTGTGGTTAAATCCATACACCGATCATTACACGAAGTCGGGAGATCAATAACCATCACGTCCGCAAAGGGTCAAGGAAAAGGGGGGGTGGGGTGAGGGCGGGGTGTATGTAACACACCATCGTCGGTTTTTGCTTCTTTGTGATCATGATGATACGATTTCCTCACCTGTTCGTATCCCTAAAAGATCTTGATAATTAAGCTATGTATAACTTGTAACATGTTGTTTAAACTGGACACTCCGTTGAGAGATAAGAATGTATTTTCTCCTTATAAAACTAGCTACTGCTCTAGGAAATTACAAGCCACGAGAATAAGGAAGTGAACGCAAGTTTTGGCACAAGAAAGAAAACCGCACCGTTTTTAAAAAGGAAAACCTTCTGATAGGTGTGGCTATTACTTCCGATTTTATTTCTTAACAACAAACTCTTTAAACCCGGATCCCCGGAGTTGGTCCAAGTCGTTCTCCAGTTATTTTCTCGGACTTTCCCGCGTCTCTCATATGGACGCCAAGTAAGCCAGCACGCTGCGAACAAGCTCAGAGCGCCCCGGAGAGCTTGTTCGCAGGCTAGCCCCCCTAAAAAGTGTCCGTTTTCGGGAGAGGAGACTGTATAAGAAGTGTGTCAAAACGAAGAAAGAGTATAGATGTTGATATTAATGTTAACGCTTTAAAAAATCCCTCAAGCAACACGCTTATTTGAAATCGAACAACCTCTCCCCCTCCCCCCCAACCGAATAAGACACGTGCTTGAACTTTGTTTTTATGGAACCTGAACTGTTTCAAACTATTGTTTACCCGTAACACTTTCAGAGGTTGAATTTATATCATTTCAATCTTCACCAACTTATCTTGTCTAGCCGTGCAAAATTATGTATATTTAATTGTTGCCCGTGTTATAGCATGGGACAGCAATTTAGTGAGTTTTCTTCCGATATTGTTTATTTTCACCAACGACGGGCTATTCTCTTTCATGAGTTTTAAATACCCCACAGCCCATTCAGTCCTGGCATTGTTTTCATAGCATTGGGACTAAAAGCATTTACTCGTAATGTATTTTTAAAGAGCAGCGGCTACGTGACTTAACCAACCCTGCATACTTCCGGATATCTAAATCTGCAAACAAACAAGATAAGCTAGGAAAAAACCACGGATGGTCGAAGGTGAAGGTTGCTTCCTTGTCCTATGGCTTGGTGTCTACATGGTTTCGTTTGGTTTACGGTCAGCAAAGAAAGACAAAACTTAGCTCTTAGAAAGTAAAGGAAGAACGCGCCACAGCCATTTTTTCCCACCGCAAAAAAGTTCATTGTCTTCTTATGGTCAAGATACAAGGGAGACAGTTTTAAAAAAAGTTAGAAGCCTTTTGAACAATTGGCGCCAAAAGCAGGCTATGTTTCAATTTTCTATTGACTTTGCAACTTGTAAAAAGTAAACCAAGACAAAGTGCAAAAGTCCTTTTTTGCAGCAGACCTGTTTGGTTGATCTTGACCGAGGTCTTATCTCTCCTTTAATGTAAATAGGAAGCTCTGTAAACGACAGCTACTTGCGTAATTTCAGTGTTGTTGCGCCGATTTTTAATCATTTTTTTGTCACCTCAATCAAACGATGAAAGCTATAGCAAGACACGTACAAAGTCCTTGAACTTGTTAAAACGTGCTGTTTGTTTGCCAAAACGGTTTTCCTGCCTTGCGGTAAACTCTCGTGACAGCTACATTTACTTTTGGAGATGTGATGTAATCAAGCAATTTTTTTTCTAGCTTTTAAAGGCGAGGTCACTCTATTTCAAGTAATTTCCGCCATCAGCTGCTCAGATAATTTAGTACTAAAACAGCTACTTTTTCCATTTCGAAAGCAATTTTTTTTCTGGCTTTAAAAGGGCAAGATCGGACAATTTTGAGTAATTTCCGCCCTGAACTCGTCAGATCATTTACCAAAATATCAAAATACCTGCTTTGTACGCGTTTAAAAGAATATACCATTTCGACAGCAAATTCTTTTTCTGGCTTGAAAAGGGCAAGGTCAGAGTAGAATGTGCTATGATATCAAAAATAGTTTAGAGTTAGAGGTAAAGAAAAACCCCAAAGGCGGCGTAAAAGTGCAAAACTGGAGAAGATTAAAAGATCTTCAAACAGATTGCATTCGGGTAAACTTGGAAAAACTTATGCCTGGCCTTATTTCAAGTGTTGTCAAAGTGTGATTTGTAATGCTTTAGAGGTTTTATTTTTGAGATCACGGCAAAAGCCTCACCAAGTTAAAAAAAACCGAACGAAAATAGGCGAAATCCACGAAATTATCTTGACCTTACCACTTAAAAGGATAATGCAAAACATCAGGGCCTGGTTCCTCGAAAGATGATGAAGTTAAACCTAAGATTAAACCAAATTTCAAGCAAGGGTTTTTTGTCTAAGAACATGTAACTCGAGCTTTCAAAATACTGTTGAGTCTTCACTCAGAGATACAGTAATGATAACTGGAATTGTTACTATAAGCAATGAATAGCAAGGTAGATACAAAAAGGGCAACAAAATTTTAATCCTGGATTAGCGCTTATCGGGGTTATTTATAATCGAGTTATGGGCAAACTCATACGTAGAGGATTATGTCGACGGCGTGATTTTTTTCTACATGACTCATGGCAGCGAAAAAAACCCGAAGTTTACAGTTGTTTGCAGAATGCACAATGGGTTTTATAAACATGGCTGCACGCCGCTAACTTACGCGGGAAAATACGCGCGCTAACCTGTTTTTAGTTCCGATTCATTGCTCAGGGAAGTGAGGTGTTATCTTTTAGCCAATCACGTAACGTTGCTGTTCAAACCAACTTAATCGACTTATTCATGAACCAATCAGAATACAAGGAAGATACTTTCCGCTGGTCTTAAGCGTGGAAAAACGTCCGTTTGCAAGTTTCATCTGGTTTTGGCTCTGATTTACTGGTTACGAAAATGGGGATTCATAAACGTGATAAATTGCATTCATTTGACGCCGACAATAAAACCGCTGCACAGTGAAAGATGTCATCAATTGATAGTAAAAAAAAGCCATTCACTCACAAAGTCTAGAGTTTGAGTAGAGAAAGTATTGTTATGTATTATTAGTTGTGTTGAATAAATCTTGGGATTTTTCGTGGGTTTTCGATTCTCATACGAATTTTCTCTTAATTTTGAGTTAAAACGAGTCTATAGAAGGCAAAGCAAGTCTGTGTGTGAAATACTGTGGTGTTACCGTTCAAATGAAAGCTACTGAGCAGTACTTTCCTGTGGTGCTGTTTATTATGCTGTACAAGGTGGTTCTAAATTTTGAGTCTGTGGATGAAATCCTATAGTGTGACCATTCAAATGAAAGCTACTAAACAGTACTTTCCTGTGGTACTGTTTATTATGCTGTATAAGGTGGTCCTAGCTTTTGAGTCTGTGGATGAAATCCTATGGTGTGACCATTCAAATAAAAGTTATTGAGCAGTACTTTCCTGTGGTACTGTTTATTATGCTGTACAAGGTTGTTCTAAATTTTTGATTCAGTGGATGAAATCCTATGGTGTGACCATTCAAATGTAAGCTAATAAGAAGCACCTTGCTGTTGTTCCGATTATTAGTTTAGGTGAAACCATAAACATGACACTTTCCGTAATGCTGTTTTCATTAGCGCTTGTAAGTGAAATCTTTGAGCGCTCTAACTTTATAGTACATCCGCTTGTACTTTTAGCATGGCTGAAGTGGAGGATCTAGGCGGTGATATTTCGTCGCTCAAAGATGAAGATTCTGCAGTTATTAATAAAACCAAAACAACGTCCACAAACCCTCCTTATTCCGGGGACCTACCAGCCAGCGGACTCACCCCAGCAGAGAAGAGGCTGCGAGCCTTAAAAAAGAAACTTCAACAAATTGAAAATTTAAAAGAAAAAATGGAACACGGAGAGACTTTAGAGAAAACACAGGTTAGAGCGCTTTTCTTTCTTAATGCTAATACGAAAAGTAAACGGGTAACGTTAATAGACCTACAGCCGACATTTCGCGACTCCATCGCTGGTTTCCCCGAAAAGACGTCGGAGGAATGAGCGAAGAAATTCCATACTGATGGCGTGTCACTGTCCAGATCTGGGTAGTGCTTCTGATTGGTCGTGCCGCGCGGGAAATTTGCTTCAACCAATCTGAAGGGATCAATTTAGGCTTCTGGGAAACTGCCCACCTACCCCTCCCCTAAGTCAGCATTAACACTGACTTCTCACTTACAGCAAAATCTTGGGTTAGGGGTGGGGTAGGTGGGCAGTTTCCAGAAACCTTAATAGGCCACTTAACAGTTGTGGGCTTAGTTTCCTTGTCACTGAGTGAATGTGAGGCTGAGGTTGAGCTTGTTTTGATACAAACCTCCTTCCTTTTCTTATGGAAATTAAGCTTAAAAATACTAGTTAGCATAAGAACAACATGATTTACATAATAAAGCAGAGAGGTTTGTATCAAAACAAGGTCAACTCCAGCCTCGTTTCCACCTGTAACTGTAAAACGGGCTATTGGTCCTCTGAAGCACTACTTAAATCCGGGTGTTAACACGTCATCAGTATGGAATTTCTACGCCTGTTCTTCAGACGTCATTTCGCGGGGAAACCAGTGGCGGGCTCGCTAAATGTCGGTTTTTTTTATCGGGCTATAAATCTCAGTGCAAACTCTCAACGTCTCGCGCACGAGCTTCACGTCTGTGGCTCAAAAACATCGGCCTTTGGCTTTCAGCCTGCAGGATAATTTCTTATGCATGGTCGATGGTGGGCTTCTTGGTAATTGACATATGAGGAGGAAAAATATTCCGTGTTTCGCTGTTAGGTATCGCTCAACTCTTGCAGTCTTCGGAAGGTTTTTAGTCGTCTTCGATAAAGTTCGGAAGTGGTCGGAACATCGTCGGTAATTTCTGAGATAGAACATTTTCGGAAATCGGGTAGTATGGAAAAAAATTTACGCATTTTTTATTGGTAAAGTTCATGGGTTTAGGTCAATGAAAGAAAAATCTAATGGCAAATAAGGACGTAAAGGATGTAAACATAGAAACCGCGAAGGAAAAACATGAAGCTATTGCCGAGTACAAGAAAATATTTGTTTAGTGCCAAGGGCAGATGTACTTTAGCGTGCGTTTCAAGCGTTTCCATTGCACGCAGGCCGCAAAAACTTATAGCGGGCACCATAAGACACTCAAAAGGCGCATAACAGGTGATGAAATATTGCTGGAAAAAATCATTGACGGCGCAGACGATGAACGAATTAGATCATTGCCTGCAAGATAAGGACTAGACTTTCTCAAAGTCCGTTTTCCGGTTCGGTCGTTTCGCTACTCCGTCGCTTACTTCGCTTGCTTCGCTTGCTTCGCGAGCGTCCCTCGCGTCTTCATTGCTCTCAGAATCGACCTGTGGCAAGTCTAGATAAGCACACCGAGAGCTTTGCTTCTACATATGAACTGAGATTTAATACGTTTGCCTGCTACTAATATTTTTCATTTTCTTTTTGTAGCTTGATAAGATAACGAAAGAACAAGAACTTTTAGAGGAAATTCAAGAAATCGAATCATTATTGACAGGAAGTGCACCACTCATCTAATAAGTTATTTCGAAAATTGTGAGTTGTATTTGCCGTGGTTAGTCGACATGAGTAACGAGATTGGAGCCGAGCAGCTTGAGAAAACAGCCGAAATTTCGCGACGCCAAGACTGTTTTCCCGCGAAATGACGTCTGAGAAACGAGCGCAGAAATTCCATATTGATGACGCGTCACTCCACAGATCTGGGTGGCGTTTCTGATTGGTTGAAGCGAATTTCTTGCGCGGCACGACAAATCAGAAGCACCTCCCAGATCCGGGTAGTGACGCGTCATGAGTATAGAATTTTTCCGATCGTTCCTGAGACGTCATTTCGCGGGAAAACCAGTGGTAGCGTCGAGAATGTCGGCTGTTTTTTTCAGGCTATGAGCCGAACTCATTAAATTGCGAGTTAAGGGCCTTTATAAGGTATATGGTGCTGTCATTATGGCTTATTAGAAACTGCAAAGCAGCGAAAGAAAAAGATAATAAAATCAACGAAAAATTGCGAAACTGCAATAAAAACCGATGATATCAGAAAACTGCAAAATTTGAATCCGTATGTTAGAACTTATAGAGGAACTTTCAAATTATCATTTTCAAGAAAACGTAACTTTTTCACGCGTGGACCAACATATAGCCATAACCGGAAACCAAGGTAAATTTGTTAATCACCTTTCCAATCTAGTTTCTCTTTTATGAAACTTGACTGAAAAATTGTACGTTCACGGAATGAAAACTTAAAACGTAAAACTGATACCGCAACCAAGTAAAGGTTTGCCTATGAAAGAATACGCTGAGGAGGATACTCTGTCCCCGCCCCTTCCCCCCCCCCCCCTTCCTTCCTTTCTTCCACCCTCCAAAGGAAAGTAAAACACAAAAGGGGGAAAGTTTTATTAAAATTTAAATTCTAAATTAAGATTAGACCCGAAAGCTCTGGGAGTGTTCTTCATATTCGCCATTTTGTAAGTCTTCTTGTATTATATTTTCATAGATTTTTTCTAATTAAATATCATTAGATATTCTTTACCTTGGACAAAACCTCTGTGTGTTCTATGCTGCAAGTGGTATCTTCTCCGCTTTACTATTTTTTAAGTTCTTTGTCTCCGTCTATCTTGATGCTATATAACAACAGATCCAAAAAATTTTAAGCTCGTTTAATACCGAAACAATTTCCCTCCACCCATGCAAGGAAGTCCAAGACGGTCCTGGATTCTGGATTCTAGGTACTGGATTTCGGATTCTTTACCGGTGGAACTTGGAGTCCGGATTCCAATCGTCAGCGGGATCCGGATTACGGCAGCCTCGTTCGCAGTCGTCCTTGGAGATTTCGCATTTGACGTCACCTGTCAAGCTTCTCGGGAAAATTCGCCTATCGCACTCGGTTCCAAGCCTCCTCTTGTCAATTCGGATAGCGCGAACTGGCGTGGGTACGAGGCTGGTATTACGGATTCCAAAGCCCAGGACTTCGGATTGAACAAGAAAAATTTTCCGGAATTTCGTGAATGGCCCACCCGGAACATCAGAATGGACTGCATTCTGGTAAACATGCCAGACGCCAGGCTCGCTTTTTCGATCAGATTTTGAATGAACTGATACCATCGTCTTTGCTAAATTAAATAAGCCTCCCGTCTCTATTAAGCCTCCCCCCCCCAATTGTGTTTGAAATATTTAAGTCCCACCGGGGGGGGGGGGGTTCATAAAGGATTTATGTCATAGTAACTTTCAAGCCTGAGGACGAAAACCAGACTGATTGTTTTGCATGCAGTTGGTTTCTGTCAGCGCCAAATTTTCTTATCTCTTATAAACCGAACTCAATTATGTGAAATATGGGTGTCGAAACAGGGAAGAACGCCGTTCTTCTTTCGTCTGGTCCCAATTCCCTCCCGTCTAGTTTTCGCACATGCGTTCAAGCTGTAAAGTTGTAAAGTAGTCTAGACGAAATCCTATATTGCGGCCAAAAAGAAATCTGCGCCAGTACTTTTACTAAAGTTATTCCATTCATTTCTAGCATGTGACTTTTCAATGTAATGACTCTTGCAAAATCGGCCCATAGATGACAATCGGTAACTTCTCAACAATTCTGCCGCTTCGAGTGCCATTCAAGGCATTTTTAGAAATGTGCTCTGTACCATCCTTGATTCTAGGGGATTCTACACAGACATCTCTTTACTCTTTTACAGACTCTAGTTATTCAAGGCTGGTTTAAGATGACGCATTGTTAGTGCGAAATGCGAAAGCTTGAAAAGGAAATTCAGTTTAATTCTTTTTGTCTACAATTTGATGATTGGATGCTCTGAAAAGAATAGAGAATAACTATGCGCGAAAATATAATGCCTTTGAGCAAAATAAAGAGAAACCCGGATTAAGCATTAACCCCGGGTTAGCGATAATCCGCCTTAAAACAACTGGGCTTTTGGGGAGGTAATGTGTTCATATTATCATTTATTTTGTTATATATCTCAGTATTCGGTAAACGCACGAACTGGTTTCGTACGTGTTAATACTTGCGCGGCAATCATTTCCCTTCGACTTTTGCGTTGAGAAAATAGAGAGGCTGTGAACAGACAAGATGGCATTTGATTGGAGTAATCTTCAGAGAGCACAAATGTAAGATTTATCGTGACTTCTGATGGTCCATAGCTACCGGGCAAAAACCCCAATATTTAGCTCCGCATAAATCTATGTAACTTTAAAATATGATCACAGAAGCCCCCCTCATTTTTAGAATGCTAACAGTCCTTCGAAATTCTGGCACGGATATTAAAGCATGCTTTGAGTGCGCGACTGAGAGAATCGGAGAGAAAAGTGGCTGATTTCGGCTCTATTCAGTCTTGCCAAGCCTTGACTCGAAAAACTGAAAAGAGAGTTCTCACAGTCCACATCAGCTTGTTTTTACTGAACATCGTTAAACAAACAAATGCAGTGCTGCGCATATTTGATCTCCAGGGTTAAGCAATGAATTCTTTGGGTGTGGTGAAAACTTTGGAGGACCGAACCTGCTGAGCAATGCTTTCATGTATGGTACAGTTTGCTCGTGGCATGGTTTAAGATTCTCCTAGTTATACTGATTTTTTGCTCGCCTTTGGATTCAGTGCATATTGATATAAAATGACCGATTTCTGCCAGTTCTTGTGTATCAACTTGCAAGCACTTAAAGGTGATGTTGTTTGTGTCTATGTCTTTTAAACCTGCGTGTAAAGTGTTCACCGAAAAATGTTTCATCTCTCACAGTGTCATAACAATAAATCAAAACTTACCAGATAGAAGCGAAGAAACCGTTTAACTTGCTACGCGAGCTGCTAATATCGGCAATGCATTACTGCCTTTAGGAGGATGTTTGTTTGCCACGACGGATATGTTATGGTCAAAGGTCAGATATTGTACTTAAGCGCTAGATAATAATACGAAATCATTTGCAACGGTCTACAACTTCGGACTGATTTCTATTCTGGTGAACCCGGGGGGGTACTCCCATATATGGGCTATATAGGTACGTGCCGCGGAATAGGGTATGGTTTTTGAGGTTCTCGGTCCTTAAATAAGGTATCTTTTTTGACCCTTTTGTTTGTATGCCCCTGGTGTGGTCCTTATATAGGGTAGCTTAATTGTCTTAATTGTATTATCTAATACTGGAGTGTGAAAACGCCCGCCTAAACGAACATTATTTTATGCTTGATGCTATACATCCAATCTTACAGAGAAGAAATAAAGTTTTCCTTTTCATGCTATTAATAATTTTGTTTTTTCCTTGAATAGGGTGTCATTTTTCGGCTTTGGGCCTTAAAAAGGGTATCAGTTTTCGCTTTCTTAGTCCTTAAATAGGGTTAGGGTTCACGAACCTTCGCGACACACCCCTATCCAAAATTCGCGGGAGTATTCCCCCCGGGTGGTCGCCCCCCGGAATACTCCCTATAATGCGATATACGGGGAGGTTCCCCCTGAAAGGGGTACCTTTTTAAGTCAATAGAACAATCAGGAAGAGAATTTTCGAAAAGCGTGATTTTTAAAAACAGACGTCTCTCCTCGCTCTTCGCGCGCCGCTAGGGACAACGGCTGTTTTCGCAGGCTAAATTTTTACTTTCCTTAAAAGAATTCGAAAGCGAAATGCCGAAGGCTTCCAAGCAAATGATATTATTGAGAGCAAATTTGCTGTATATGGATCAATAGTAAATACTTTCAGTCACAATCTTAAATTCAGTCGTCATTATATTAATGCTGGCTTCGGCGGAGGTGACCAATTGACTGATGCACCGTTGACCTGCGATAAACAACCCCGCAAGATGGTTAAAAAAACGGAACAAAAGCGGTTAAGAAAATATTTGTTCTTGTGCAATTTGAGATTGTCAATTAGAAAAATCTTGGTTAAGTCACCTAGTGATACGCCCACAGTGATTGAATATAAAAGTACGACATTTTCACAGTCTAGAAAATTGGAAAATGATCTAATTCACATACCGTATGTTTCGAAGGGGATTATTCTAGCCATAAGCACAAACTAAAACAAACCGTGCAATAGAAGATAATCCTCGGGCGGATTCAGCAGACACGACGTTTATTAACAAGGTGGCAATTTCACTTCAAAAAGCTCTTCATCAAAGAGATCTTTGTTCCAAGTCTCCACACCCCTACGATTGTAGAGTTAAAAATAACAACGACTAGAGATACGCATTCACCTAAAATAGATCATAGGCCCCATGTGGAAGCCATCTGAGAGGTGGTGCTGAAATCTGATGGAGAATCGTCGTATCAGTCGTTCTCTACGAGCAAAGCTCAAAAGATTGGGACAAAGAAAAAAGAAACTTTTTCATTGACTCGGAGTAGGGTCAAGTAATTAGTAACTGCTGTTGTAAAGGAAGTCAGTTTTTTGTGTTAGTATACAGTCAACTTGAACCGGACCCCCGGGGGGGGGGTACTCCCATACATTACCTATACGGGTATGTGCCGCCCAACGGGGTTGTGATTTTGAAGCTCCTGATTTAGAACGGGGTATCCATTTCAGAGGCGTTTTCTAGAACGGGGTATAAAAAATTGCGGATCACGGCTTTATCTTCTGCTTAAAATTGTTGCTGATTACGAAGAAGCATTTATTTGATGTATAAGTCGAACAAATAAAGAAATATCTTTTTAAAAAAACAGGGCTATT